TTACAAAACAGTAACCAGTTATTATCCTTTCGAGAATAAGTCCATTTTATTACAAATACCCTATAATTACTTTAAATAAATATCCACTATATTACGTTTATTTTTATGATTAGAAGTAACTTTCTTCCATAAATTCTTGTTATATACATTATTAACTCATGTCTGTATTCTATACATGTGACTTTTATAAATCATAAATTTATTGAAATCTATCACTGATCAAAGGACTTGTCATGTTTTACAACCCTTATGAGAATTTGAAATTAAAATAACATAAAAAATGAAATTAACACCGAATGGTTGTAGGAATGTAAAGCTGTGATAATGCATACATTGTTTGCCACTAAACCGTTATTTATTTGCTACTTCTCATCATAAATCAGTTCTCCATAAAAAATATTCAAGAGATGTCAAATTGCAAAACTTTGGAGCCCAATGATAAATCAAATCAAATGGTAATACCAAGTTTACCAAAACCTAAGTTTCGACTTCATTTTTGAAGAAACTGCATCCTATAATACCACAAGGAACAAAAAAAAATTGATTTACAAATTATGAAATTGAAATTGTCGAAACCATTTTTTTGAAATTTAATTCAACCTTATATTATACTAAAATTTATTGCGGTTTTAATAATTATAATGATACTGACAAAAATACATCTATGACAATAATAATGACGATAATGATGAAAACAATAATAAATAATATGACATTAAAATTATCCTATCACAAAAAGCAGCCGCACCGCAAACACGAAAATTCTAAAGATAACATGCATTATGAATGTTATTAATAAAAACAACACATAAAAAGAGAAAAATAAAAATCGAAAAATAATCAATACCTACACAACCATCGTCTTTCTACAAATTTTCTAATAGTGATTCGAAAATAACCTGTAAGAGAGTAGAGTTCGTGAAGTTCGTACATAAATTTTCCGTACCGTTTGTAATACTAAAAAATAATAGTCTGGTTTATAAACATTGTATTTATATTAAGACTCTGCATCGAATTCTGATCTCAGCCTGAATTTATTATCCCTTCATATAGACTATGATATAACAAAGTATAAATTGATGTGATTGCAATTTAATTATATACTATAACTGCATAGTTACATGGTTTTTGCTGCATTTAAAAATTAAGGTGACTGTGTTTAAGCGCTAACCTATCTAATATTAAATATTTAGCCTATATGTCTTGACCTATTTCATAAATTTAACTGAATCCAAATGTTCAAGAAAATTTATGTCGGTCTAAACTTTACGAATAAATGGTTGAATAAGTTTTGAGGCATGAGGACCTCTATAAAATAATCTTTACTAGGGACCAATTACTTGTTATCAACCTTTCTCTTAAGAAATAATCAAAAAACTTTCTCGAATCAGAAGAACAGTAGCCAAGAAACATAATATCAACTAAAAATAAAATTTACTTTCATATAGCTACATAATATTAACTGGAAATTTTTAAAATAGTTGAAGGACCCCTGGCTGGGATAATTGCCATATAACTTATAAACAAAAATTAAATGTCCAATAATAAGAATATAAATGCGGTAGAGAAATCTACCAAAGTTTCGGCAGAGACCACGGCTTTCGGGGAGTGTTTGGCTGAATGTACAAGATGTTCAGAGAAGTCGCCAGTGGAAAAAAAAAGATCACTTAACGAAATTAATTAACCCGTTTGGTTATTGAAGAAGTTAAAAGGATACAACAAAGGTAAAACATCTGAGAGTGATGTTTTACATTTGTTGTATCCTTCTAATGTATCTAAAGGCTCATTACATCAAGAAAATGGACCAATTTATACATTTATTAAAAAAATAGATTAAAAACATTTTTCCAAACGTACGCAAAGATTTTTCACTAATCTTATTAGAATAAATTTATCGGAATTTGTAAATTTTATTGAGGAATCAAACACACTAAAATGTGATCGGTTATATGTAGTGACAACGTTATTGTAACCATTCTACAGTCTACACAGTTTTCATTATATAGTTAATTCAATAACACCCTCTTTTATCTTCGAAAAATAGAAAATATATCTATCTTTTATTTTTTTTTAATTTGGAAAGCAACCCAAATTTTTTTGATGCCATCTTTTATTTCCGGAAATATTTGATGTGTCTATAAAAATAAAATTTTATTTTATATTCTTGTGATTTGTCTGACCTTAAGTTATTCAGGTGTAAAAAATAAATACATTTTACATGTTATATATTATGTGATATAGTTTAAATATTAAAATAAATTAAATAAATTTAGAAAAAAATTGTAAAATTATATTAAATCTTTGTGACAGAATGACCTATTAACTTAGTTTTCTATGAAAATTAAGTAAACAGAATATTTGATTCACGTATACATAAAAATATAGATTATTATATAAAATAAACTAAAATAAATCAATATAAATTTACTATTGCGTTAAAACCTATGGCGTTAGGGAAAAATTGGAAAAAACTGCTTAAAAGTTTTACTCTGTCCGCTTATTCGTACACCCTTTTAAAACAAAAATCTTAAGTTTTCTACACGAGTCGACCTCTACTAAAAGTTTATTTGTCTAAAAGTTATAGGCCCACAAAACCCAAAGAACATCATTCTTTGACTACTTGTATCTAAATTACGCACATAAATTCTGCGAACGGAAAAAAGTAACTACTGGATTTCTGCCGCGATATATAGGAACATATTTAAATATAATAAAAAAAATGGGCATGAATACTAACCATTATCTAAAACTCTCTTTCCTATGCCATGCCATCAAAAAATATTATTTTTATAATATTAACTCATTTATTTGATATATACGATAGCATATTTTAATTATTTTATTTTTTTCTTATGAATTCTATGCATTTATATATTTTGGTATATTAGTAAAATTAATTTAAATATTTAGTACAGATTGTTTTTTAAAAAAAGCATAAATTTACTTGTTCAAGGGAAAAGTGCTACTTTACAAACCATTAATTTAATCCGAACGCAAAAAGCTAACGGTAAATTCCATGACATTAAATATAATTATTTTTCTTAACTCAATATTAATTTTTGCTATATTTCAAAGACGCGTTTATCCTAAATATATGCAATCCTAGAAATAGTTTCGTATATGAATGAAAATAACTTTAATAGTGTGATAGGTATACATAAACTGTGTTTAAAAGCAGTATTTACACTTGTTGAAGGGAAAAATGCTACAATACAAACCATTGGTTTGACCCAACTTTATTTATTTTAAAATTCACAATAACAAAGTTTATTGTATCAGCTCGTTACTCAATTATAATAAGAAGTTTTGAAATTTTTTTTCCAAAAACTACTGAAAAAAAAAACCAAATTCAATTCACAAATTTTGCAAAACAATTGGGACACTCACTATTCAAATATTATAGTAGAGCTCTATTTGAAGCGAGAGGGAATTTATTATCAATAAAATTTATTTCGTCCATTTCCATTGTTCTTCTTCTAATACCTCGTTTTTGTTCGGAATTTGGTCGTTTGTAAAAAAGCGCTACTTATGGTTACTTGTAAGAAGTCAAAAATGATGAATTCAACATTCTTACTCAAAAAAAAAAGTTTTATAAAGTTTCAAACTAATTTCTCATTTAGTTACCATGCACAAGAACTTACCATTTTAAATGTATATAAGACCTCATAACCTCATATATACATACGAACATATTGTCTCTACATATAAACATATAATTGTGACCTAACTGTTATATAGATACTTTTTAAGTCCTTTGACGTAAGTATATAGAAAAATTTTCGGTTTACCGACCACATTGTACACAAAAAGGGAAATTATGTGATGGCACCAAATTTCGCATATGGAGTTTTCAGTGGAAACACACTTTTGTATGGTAGAAAAACGTAAATAAATTATTTTTGGAGAGATGGTCTTTTTGTCTGCCAGTCTATCAATATATGTGTACACTCATATATCTCAAATTCAGCTGAATCGATGTTCATGAAAATTTATAAATTTGACGGAATTTCTTGAAATATTGAAATGTTTGAGTTCTGTTTGATACTGAAACTAGCTAATGAACTTTACAGCAAATTTTGATGCACGAAGTGTTTCTCTACTTAGATCCAAATTTACATTTTTCTAGATATATATTGCTAGCGTTCTAAAACTTTTAAAGTAGTGTTAAAAGAAAATTTTAATTTCTATCAATTTTAAGAAACTTTTTTACAATTTCGAATATTATCAACTCGAAATAAAGTCCTGCACCATTCTTAATTTCCTTATATTTTTCTCTTCTTTTCTCTATTCTTAATTTCTCTTCTTTTCTCAAATCTTCATCTTTTATCTATTCTTAAATAAATTAAAAATATTTATAAATGTTATTAATGTGAATATTTTTCACCACTCCTTTGTATTTTATGGTAAATAAATAAATGAAAAAAAGAAATATTTTCTTTTCAACTTTTTCCTTTTCGTAAAACAAAAGAAAAGTAAAGAGAGTGTGAAAATTTTTTTTTTTTAAATTTTATTTCTCACGTTTAACATCCTTATATTAATTGGATAGTTTCGATATTATACTTAGTAATGATGATTTCGTTGATTAGCTTATAGTATTTAATAAAGCATTCAATGAAGCTTATAAGTAGTAGATTAGTAATTCGTAAATAATGATGTACTGTACATACACGTACATAAATATATACAAATATTGTATGGATATGTGAGGACTATTTTCGACTTTCTTAATTCTAATTATATTTCTATAAACGTGATTTCAGTCCATTTATCTTTCTAACCATTTCTTTTCAATTATTTTAATTAACAGAGAAATTTTTGCAATTAAATATTTTTTTTTTTGTGATAATAAGCATCTGTTACAACAGTAATAAATATATATTGTGTAAAAACATTTTTATTTAGTATAACAAAAATTAAAAAGTTTAAAATTTTAAAGACACATGTTTAATATTAATGACCATTGTAAGGTTTAATATTTTAGAATTTCTAATATTTTAGAATTATAGCATAAATTCTGGAGAAACTCTAAAAAAATCTAAAATCACAAAAAAGGAATAAATTAATAAACCTAATTTGTGGCATTTAGATTTACACTTTGCATCTCAGTTTAATTAGTTCATATGAGGAATTTAAAAATGAAAATGAGCTTATATTTTAATTAAATATTAAATTTTGGCCAAATTTCAGTCAAAAATTAAAGATTTAACAATTTTTGGATGTGTTAAGTCAAATAGAATAATGAAATAGAAAAAATATAACTTTTCAATTTGGTATTAGCAAGATAAGCTGCTCTAAAATGACTATGTATCAAAGAAAATAAAAATATGTATATACCAAAAAAATATGCTAAACGTAAAATTCCATTCTGAGTTTGAATTTTTGTGGTCATTCTCATTTCTGTGTATTTATTTGAACAAAAATTCTAAAGTTTTAAATAAAAAGTAAATAAAACTGAAGTGCAGCGTGCTTTAATTTGTTATATAAGTTAAATATAATAAAAGAAGTTATTTACAATAACAAACTACCCTTGAATTACAAAGTTTTTATAAAAATTTGGCATAAAACAAAAATGTATTTTGTATGATCTAGCATAATTAATAATTTGATCAAATTTCCCAACACTAATATAGACTCAGTTTTAGAACCTGTTATAATTGCCTAAAGAGAAGATATAAAATATTTGTATATATTATATACTTTATAGTTAAAATTAAAGATGCTAGTTGCGTATTTTTAAATCTTATTAATTATGTGTTTGAATAATAAATATGGCTATGGTTTTGATATCAAACCAATAATGATTTACATAAAAATGATAATTTTCAATATTTTTTTTTCTTTTTCGTTTATTATTAACTTTTCAAATTTATAATTTCTGTAGCTTTTTCAATAATTTTCATATCTAATTTTATATTTGTTTTAATTATTAAACCTTCTTTTAAATATGTTACATCTTTTTCGGAATATGCTGTTAATGGAAAATGTGTTACATAACCAGTATTCGTATGTAAATAAATTCTTGATGCAAAATGAGTTCTCTTAGGTTTTGGAATCAATTTTAATAGCCAATTACATTTTGAAATAAAACGATAATTTTCTTCATAGCTGTATAATTGATTTACTTTATATATTAAACTTCCAAGTTCAGCTTTAGTTCTTATTTCCTAAAAAATAAATTAAAAATTAAAATTGAATATTGTTAATATTTAATATAAAAAATGTAATAAGAAAACGCTCATAAACTCTGTAATTTAACAATTATTTCTACTTAAAATTCGTTTTCTTTAAGTTAAAAATTCAGTTTCAAATGCATGCATATAAACGCTCAAAAATCTAATGAAATTTAATTTTTGTAATAAAATATGAAAACGTTCAATTAATAAATAATTAAATTTAATTCTTAGAGTTATGTGAAACGATCATATTTTTCTTTTATAATCTCATTTATTATATTCTATTATAATTTATTTATTTATATATTGCAATAAATTAAAAACAATATATATATATATATACTTACATGAACATCACTAACAGCTAAACCATTTAATAAATTAATAAGAACTAATGCCATAAAAAATGTAAAACAAAATATTAATAAAATTTGCCAAAATGTTATTAAATCTAAATCTTTTGCATCAAATTCACCCATTGCCATTGTTAATGTTATTACAATTGAATATAAAAAATTTGGAAATTTTTCTTTAAATATTATCATAAAACATATTGTAAATGATATTAAATAAAAACTAAATATTAATAAGATTTTTATATATGTTTTTGTTACTTGCTCTAACATAAAAATATAATCAGAACCAAATGTTGATTTTATAACAAATGTTAAATCAATAGCTGATAATAAAATACATAAAAATGCTATACCATTATTTAATATAAATACATTTATTATTGTCATTATTATAATTAATAATAATAATATTATATTTAATATATATTGTATATTATTTATAAAATTTGATTTAATACAATTATTTTTAATTATAAAATATGGTTGAATTATCATAAATATCCGTAATGATTTATGTATAATATTTAATAAACAAAATATTATAATAATTAACATTTTTAATATGTTTTCATTATTATTATTATTATTATTATTAATGTAATTTTGATTTAATAATATTAATGGATCATCTGTTTGATTTAATCTTAATGTTAATGATGAATTATTTAAATTAATATTATTATTATTATTATCATTTTCATTAATTATAATATATTCAATATAACAATAAATATTTAATAATATAAATGTAATTAATGTTAATGAAAAATTCAAAAAATTTATAAATGATAATTCATACCATTTTAAAATAATTTGTATTGATATTATTGGATGTGCTAATAATTGTTGTAAATGTTTTCTATTTGCAAATTCATATATAATATTAGAGAATTTTAATTTTTTATTATAATTATTATCAATATTATTATTTTGTAATGAAATTAATGGATCTGTTTGATTCACTGATTTATTTATTAATATTGATATTAATGAATTATTATTTATATTATTATCATTATAATTATTTTCTATTTTTTTATTTTTATCATCTAAATCTGTATTATAATCAATATTTTCAATAAAATTTCTAAAATCAAAACATATTATTGTATTTTCATTATTTTTTTTATATGTTTTTAAACATTTATCTAAATGTTTTTTTAATAAATCATTATTTATTTCAAAAAATTTTATATTATCTTTATAATAATTATCTTTTAATAATAAAGATGATTTTTTTTCTAATAAATAATTTAATGCTTCAATATTATTCCATTTAATTGTATATGTTATTAATGTTATATTATTATCATAAATTTCATTTATATATGTCCAACCATCATATTTATTTTCTTTAACTAATATATTATCTAATATATATGAAAATAAATTTAAATTTTTCCTTAATATTATTAATTTTAATAATTTAAATATAAATTTAATATCATTTTTAAATTTACGATTAAAATATTTAAAATTTTTTTTAAATTCATCATTTTCATACCATATAATATTATTTTCTAATAAAAATTTATAATATTCTATATTATTATTTAATTTATTAAAAATAGTATTTGAATTTATATCAACATTTATTGAATTTGGATATTTTTGAAAAATTATTGAATTTTTATTTATTAATATAGCAATATTTATTTTATGATTTTTTATTTCAAATATATAATTTAAAAAATAATTAATAAAATTTATAAAAATACTTTTATTATCATTATTATTATTATCATTAATACAATTATTATTAATATTAATATTATTTGTGTTTATTAAATTATCTTCAACATTATTTTCAATTTTAAATAATATATTTTCATTATAACTATTATAATTTTTATTATTTTCATAAATTATTTCGAATAATTTCTCGAAAAATTTATTTGATATTGTTTTAAAACGTGTTTCTTTTTCAGTTATAAAACTTTTATAAAATTCAATATTATTTATATTATTTTGTAATGTCATATTTTCAATATAACTTAGTTCACGACTTGAAATAACTTCATCATAATCTGACATTATTTTATCATGTAATAATATACAAATTTCTTCGGTATTATTTTCATTAAATTTTCGATTTAAAATTATACTAAAATGATACTGAAAATAATAATAATTAGAAAAAAAATATTAAATATCTTCATAAGACAAGAATTCAACTTTAACTCAATTAGCTTATTATTTTTGACAATTTGTCCAGAAGTTTTCCCCTTTTCCGTTAACCAGTCAAAGAATTCATATTCTCAATATACTTTTCAAATTGTGTTATTGTTTGGCAAATTCAAAGTATAACATATATAATGTTAAATTTAGACTTGTCAATCAATTAAATAATGATTTTTGGTGATAAAATAAAAAGCACATACACAAAAGAAATCACGTTATTTTTTAGCACATTTCCAAAACAATTTTGAAAAAAATTGCATATTAGTTTCACGCTGTCCCTTCGTTAGTCTGTCCCCCAAAATCCCAAAAATACAGTTTTTTATCAATTCCTTGATTCTCTTTTACCACGGCATACCATATTTGAACGTCATCAAAAATTCATTTTTTTCAAATTTTTTATATCGTTTTTCTTCTAGATCTCAGTTTTGGAAACTTTTTCCAATTCTTATAAATGCAGTAAAACGTATATGCCATGCCATTAAAAAATATAATTATTTTTCTTATTCATGCAATTAACCCTTAAATTCGAGCATTATATTAACGTCTCTTTCAATTTTTTTTTTCGTTTTACTTCAAAAATTGGATTTGACATTGCTAATTTTAAAGGTATGCAATCTTTTAAATACATGTATTCGTGTGTGAATGAAAGTAATTTTAATAATATAATATAAAGCTCGATTGTTTTAGTAGCAGTACTTTTCCCTTGTTAAATTGAAAAGTGCTTCATTACAAACCATTGAATTGATCCAACTTTTTTTGATCAACAAGATAACTGAGTGAAAATTAAATACGGTCTCGTGAAATGTCCTTACATGTACTTACTTCAAACTTTTTTACTTGACCCAACAATACCGAAAAGAATTCATCATATTTTTCCTTTTCCCATAATTTATTGAAAATACTTTTTTTTTTATTCAAAAATGCAACTGATTTATCAACACTTAAGGTCTCTTTAAATACATCTAAATCTTTTCTTTCATAAGCTTCTGATAGCACATATAATAGAATATTCTAAAATTATTTAAAAAACAAACAGGAATTTTGAATTTAATTTAATTATAAAAGTATTAATTTTGGATCGTTTATTTTTAAAATAATCTATTGGTGATTTTGAAATGGGAACATTCTCACTTAAATTAATTCAAAAATCTAGTATAAACATTTTAGTGTGTTGTGTATATTCTCTACAAGATCATAATTTTCCATTCGAACTATATTTATATTTTCATTGCCATGAACACAAAACAGTTTTAAGATTACAAATATAGACTTATAGATCACTTTCAAAATAAACGATTCAGTTTTATTAAAAGTATGTATATTCTAATTTAGAAAAAGTGAACCATTATCATATTATGCTTACCACTTTAATTAAAAAAATTAATATAAATAATATTTCAATGTTTAATTAAAAACCTTAAACATACCTTTTCCTTTTCTTTTCGCAATTTTTCATCACACTCCTTATTTAGTTTTTCATACTCTAATTTAATATAATTTAAAAAATAATCTCGTACTTCATTTTGTGGCAGATGTTTAATCGATCTGAACAATATATTTAACTATAAAAATTTAATTAAAAAAAAAAAATTAGAATTTAAATTACTAATTTTAGACTCTTACTGTCTACAAAATTTTTAAGACCTTGCCTTTCGAATTTTCCATATACATACCAAATTTTTTTTAAATGCATTTACCTGTTATATCATTATCTGTTACAGATAAAGATACGCTCCCTGTTTTTATTTGCTCATTAAAGTTACAATTTAGAAATTGCATATAATTTTAGAAAATCAATATAATAGCAATATATATACATAATATCCGCTTAGGGTATTTTGATTAGTGTCAAGTGATGAAACTATTTTAAACTTGCCTATACAAATATAATTTTATTCGAAACGAAATTACTTTACTCAAATGAAGATATTGTATGGGATTGTTCATATATAAAAAAAAAATTAAATTAAAATATTTTAGATATACTTATTATGAGTACCCCATTTAATATGTTTTATAAAACTATAATCGTTTTCATTCAAAAATTGCACAGAATATAAAAAAAGCGAAAGTCTGTTAACTTGAAAGCTAATGTTAATCAGTTCGAATACTTATTTTTCATATAAAATTTTTTAAGACTAAATGGTTAACAAATATATAGATAATTTAATAATAAAATAAAATGAAAATAAAGATGGTCCTATCTATTGCCGTTAAAAGGCAAGTGACGAAGTACCATATATACAAATTTTAATTTAATTGTTTAATACTTAATACATACTTGCTGTTTAAATCTTAAATCTGGCAAAATAATTTCGGCGAATAAAATAAACGATCATAATATATATAAATATGTGATAAAGTAGCCCCCTTTCTCTTTGTAAATTTATACTTTAAGATTTAAAATTTTTTATCTTAATATTTCTTGATTGCCATTATATTGTATAATGTACATACATCCCGATTTTACATATAAGCTCATATTTTCACTCATATTTTCGATCATCTGTTTTAACAATTCTCAAATTATATTATTCTCATTTTATCAATTGGATTTCAATTGAATAGAAATTTTAAAATATTGATTGAACATGTCAGTTTCAAAAGCAAAAATAATGGATTCTGAATTTTGTATATTACATTCGAGATTTGTATATTACCTACATGTATATTTAGAGTTGATATCTAAAATTTCAAATGCTAGTCAGTTTAACTAATAATAAATGCATAAAATTCTACTTTTTAAATAAAAAAACCTATACGTACACATATATTAGGTAAAATATTTCAGTACAATCATGTATACATAAATGTAAGATAATTTAAAAACAATATATTTTATACAAAAATATTTACCGGTTTTTTATCATGACTAATAAGAATTGGTAAACTTTTTAGTAGCAATCTTGTAGAATCAATGACGTCATTCTCAGTTAAATTATTCATTATTTCCAATTAATATTATATATTATATGTATATAATTACATATATGTATACACACAAAATAATTGATATTTTATGTATCAATTATTTTTTTATAAATTTTTATTAACATTTTACATAAATATATTAAATTTTGTTATTAACACTTTGAAATTAATTTTATTACTAAATAATTTTAAACTACAAAAAAAAATTACATATATAAAAACTACTTGCGTTAATTTAAAATAAGTTTAAAAAAAAAGACAGTCTAATAAAACTGTCTTGAAATACTTTGAAAAAATCACAAAAAAAAAAAACAACAAATAAATAATATTTTTATTGATTTTATTGCCATTATATTTATTTGTTTGCGTATACTCATACCATACCCCATTTTATCAATATAATTATTTCTATTAAACTCATGAGTTTAAGATAAGGAAAATTATTAATTATACCATGTGAGTAATTTTGCAGGAAAAGACATAAGTTAACTTAAGTAAAATGGGGACTCAGATTTGAAATACTTCTTTTGCAAAATTTAACATATATTCAACAAGTTTTCTAATCGTTTTTACGTTAACGCTATTCTACTCACGCTACAGAGAATTTCTTAATGTTTTAAAGAATTAAATGAATGAAATGATGTGTGCAGTCTAATTTTCACCACTGTTCAATGGGATTCAGTTTTTTGAATAAAATTTTTGAAATGTTATATTTATAGCAACCATTTCCAATTTAATTTTATCTAGTTGATATAGTTGACGCATACATATACTTATATAGACCCCTTTAACCTAAGCTGCAGATGTCAAATTTTTTTTTTCAAACAACAGAATAAACTTTTGTATTTAAAAATAGAGTAGAAATATTTTTGGTAATAGTTTTATTTTTTCTAGCGGAGACATTAAAAAAATTGATTCTTAATAATTTTATTTCTAGACTTAATGAAAAAAATTACTTTCATAATTTGAAATTCAGTAAATTCTTTTTGTTTAAACAAATAGATTATTGTTATTTATTTTTGTGAATGCGTTGATCATAGCGGTCTATTCGAAAATCTGAAATTGTATATTAAACAAATTTTCGTAACAAAGTTCAACTTGTAGAATTGGGGTTCGTTCTAAAAAGTCATCTAAGTTATATTCTAAAAAATTACAACCGTCATCACAATAAAATAATCAATCTGCATGTGTACATACGAATATGTATATAAATATATTTTCAACCTAAAAAGAATAATGAATATTTGAAATTTTATAAAAATTTCAAAATATTTAACTTTTTTTTCCTTTCAAAATTAAGAAAATATTTTGATTTTATTTCAACAATTTTTAGACATGTAAAATAAATATTACAATTTTCAACAAATTAATTAATTTTTTTCAAAATTTATAACTTAATCTTATCGTAAAATTTTAAAAGTATGTACTTATCACATAAATATCACATTTGTATATCTATAAAAATTTTCTACATACATACATTTAAGTATAAACAAGTATTACACAAAATAAAATTTTTTGCGTAGAATTTTTTGCTTTCCAACCAACAGAAATACATGCAGTAAATGTCTTTATAATGAACAATTTGTTTTTTTCTATAAAATTTTATACAAAAATGCCACTATATATTTTAACAAATTACAATTTGATGTAGAATATATTGTAAGAAATATTTTGTAATTTATACTAATATAAAATGACTTATGCATACATATGTATGTATTTATAAATTATAATTGATCATCTCTTTAAAATTAAAAAATTGTCACGCAAGAAAATTTAATTCAAATACAACCTAATTATATATAAAATTAAAATATATGTATGTCTTATTTCTCAGGTATGAAACAAATCCTGCTATTTACACAATCTAATGGAAATTACTAACAGAAAAAACAATAATTCGGCCGTTTCCTCTCATATAATTTTCAATAAAAATAATGTGTAAATATCTGCGTTTCTCGCAGCATTATATATACATATATTGAATTTTTACGTTAATCCAAAATTTAAGATTTATAGGTAGTGAAAATATATCTGAATGTTATTTAATATACGTATATATGTATGTTGTACTATAAATCTCCATAATTACAAATAAAACTTATGTAATTTTTGATGTTCATTATATGGAGATTTCACTGTACTTAAAAAACCAATTACATAGTTAGTTCTTATCATTTATTATTTTATCAAGAAAGGATATTGCGTATGTATGTCGGTTTTTATTATTTCAATTATTGTCTTTGCAATTAATCTTATTCAAGAAAACAAAAAACAAGTTAAAGTACATTTCGAAGTAAACACATAATTGTATATATATAATAATTTCTTTGTTATAAATTCTGTTACCACAAATAATATAATTATAGTAATGATCTCCAAGACAAAATTTTTATAATTTAATTCTACACTTCTTATTACTAGTCAAAAATGTTAATTAACCTTCACAATTTTTTGATTTTAATCTATAACATAAACTCAATCATTTTAAAACCGAATTAAGAAATTATTTATAAAATGTGAAATTTTTATAATTACAGTTACATACATAAATTATAAATCTGAAATTCATATTTAAACCCAATATTGTGAGAACAAAAAATTGAAACTTTTTAGTTTTTTTATTCTTAAAAAATTTTAAAAATTAATTTCATCATTTGACTTAATGCAATTTGTCAATAGACCAAAAGATTTTCTTTGGTAAAGATTAACTTTTTAAAAAATTTTAATATGCAGATAAAATCCAATAGAATTGTTAAAGTGATGGAAGATTTTTTGCTGTTTGATTCGTTCTGAAATTATAGGTATTTATTTAGATGTATGTATGTACGTATAATAGAAAATTCTGGGACTATTTTTCATAAAGAAACTGTAGCTCAAGAATGAAAATATTAAGATTCCTCCTCAACTATTGTTTAATATATTACAGAAATTGAAGAAAGATTAAAACACCCTGTTGATAGTCGTATCCAAAAGGAAAATTTAATTTAACAAAATATGTACATGAATACATATGTATGTGCAAAATTTTACTCATTAAATTTTATTACGTGTCACATTTCAGCTATAATTAAAACAACTTGTATCTTATCTACATACATATGCATAAACATATAATAAAGGTAGGTAAAGATAAAAAATCCTAATCATAAAAAAATGTTATTTAAAGGCATTACTAATAATTTTCGTTTCATTACTTATTTTTTTTTAGTCAAATAAATTGTATTGGAAAGAATATAAAACGTAAGTAATTTTATTTTACAAATAATAAATACATTATACTATAGTTGAAAATTAAAAATTATAATTCTGTGGAGATTTTTAAAACTTGAAAGGAATTGTAGCTACATTATGTACATGCACAGTTACCAAATTTTTATTTTGTGAAAATTAAGAGTCGCAAGTGTGGAAATTTTCTTTACATACTTACATACATAGGTATGTACTTATGCAAAAAATTCAATAAAAACTACTACAAATATAGAGAAAATTCCAACATTTTAAAATCGCAATGACAAAATTGCAATTTTGATTTTGACAAATTTTCACAAAATTTTAAATTGAAGGTTTTAAAAATTGACACCAAAGCTTATGATTTTATTAACATATTTTTTAATTAATTTTATTAATTTTTTTTATGTTTTCATATAAAGATGTTCGACAACATTGAAGAGTATTTGCAAACGATGACAGAACCGGAACAACATTATTTTGTTCATACAATTATTCAATATGCAAAACAAAAAGGTGTTGATTTACATAAGGCAACTGAAGAAGAAAGAATTCGTATTGTTACTGATGGTATTGAATGGTTTATGACAAAAACTGGTAAAAATGATGAAGTATTTACATTAGAAAAAGCAACCGAGATAAAAAGATGTAAAGTTGTTTGAAACACATCATTTAGAGATCAAATATTATTCAGATGCCCCGTAAGTTCGTGTGTTACAAATTAGCAAAAAAAAAAATATAATATTTTATATTTAAAAGAAAATCAAAAGAAAAGCAAAAAAAATATATGTATATTCAAATAATAATACATAATTGGAGATCCAATTTTATAATTGAATTTATGGCAAAGATAAATTTCTACAAAGTACATAATGTAATTAGAACAAACACTAGTGCATAGTTACATGTTAATTCAAAGTTCCCATTTATTAACATGAGCTACATACATGTATATACATAAACATATAATATATATACAATTATTATATAGCAATGAAAAAAATGTATAGATACATATAGATTAATAAAATTTAATATAAAAACTAGATATTTTTGTTTTATTTTATTTGTTAAATTTTTTTATTTGCGTATAACTGATTTATAAAATAAATTAAATATAAAATAACATTATGTAATGTGAATAACGTAAAAAAATAGGATATTCACATATACATGTCATGGACAGGGTTTTCTCAATACAATGTTAATTACCCAATACACCTTTGTATCCCTAAAGCAAGGTGATAGAATAAGTACAAACAAAAAAAAACATTCGAGTTCATTTGTTGTTTTTTACCTATCTTCCGTACCAGCCTTGAGAAACTAATAGATACAAAACAAATACAATAGCTCTTTCAATTTTCCAATTAAAGTTTGTTTCCCCCGAATGGTTTAATTTCCAATTTTAAAAATCATAATTAAAGCTCGTTGTATGTTGCTAATTTTTATTTTATTAATTCTTTTAATGAATAAAAAAATTCGATAAAAAAATACAAGTGAAAACGATCTTGCAGCGACTGTAAGATTTCTATGTATGAAATTTTGTAAAAAGACATTAATTAATTTTGCAAAAAACATTATAGATTTTTATAGTATACATGCAAACATTTTAATGCAATTTGGTTTTTTATAATTAAATTTATTTTAATGCAAGCATTGTTTCCAAATTAAAGGGACTGTATCGGCAATGTTTTAATCAATTTGGCAAATGCGGAATTTGCAAAAATAGGTTTGGAATATTAAGCATGTTGGTGTTCCCAAAAACTGGATGTGATACAGGATTAACAACACTTTCATTTGTTTCTACATTATTTGTTATGGAATTCAAGGCAGCACTATCTGACTGAGTTATAATAAAGCATGTTTTGTTGTCAGTAACTTTAATTGGTTTAATTCCATGTTCAACATTAATTACAATAGGTCGTTGTTGTATATGCTGCATTTCACTTTGTGACCATGTTTCATCGTCATGATCTTGTTGTATTTCCTCATCCTCTTCTTGTTCTTGTTCCTGTTCTTCTTCTTCCCTTATATTTTTTGGTTTCCTACCTTTTTTTTTTGGTTCTTTTGGTAAATCAACGTTATTCGGATCTTTTATTTTTATTTTGCCATTGGCATGACTTCTTAAATGTTTTGTTAAATTATAATTTTCAGCAAAGCCACGCCCACATAGTTGGCAAATGTAATCTTTAACACCTGTATGAACTTTTGTGTGAGCTTTCAATGTGCCTTCCCTTTGAAAAGCCATATCACATATTTTACATTTAAATGGTCTTTCATCAGAATGTGATATATAGTGCTTTGTTAATTGTTTTTTATCATAAAAACTTTTCCCGCATTGTTCGCATTTGTAATTCCGTATATTTCCATGGCGCTTTTTATGCTCATTTAGCAATGTAGTCGAGTAAAAATGAGCTCCACATAATTCGCACTGACAAGGTTTTTCTTTAGTATGAACCATTCTGATGTGTACCTTAAGCTGAGGGCCCTTCAAAAATTTCTTCTCGCAATAATTACAAGGATAACGCTTATCACCTAAGTGGCCACGAACGTGTGATGTTAATGCCCACTTTCTTGTAAAAGCTGCTTCACATAAATGACATTTAAATGGACGTTCTCCAGTATGAGTATTCATATGTTCGCGCAAATTTGACGGAGATTTGAATATTTTAGTACATATCTCACATGGATAGTTCATAACATGAGCTTGTTCATGCTTTCTTAGAGTATTTTTACGATCAAATGTTTTATCACATATACGACAGTGCCATAAGTTATCATCACCTAACTTTAAAGTAGCTGTATCTGCAACTATACTTTCTTCCAAACTTTTCCGTGCTTGTGCAATAATTTCTGCATCACATATATGCAAAAGAAATTTTTTTGAATCGTAAAATTTGCTGTTACAGCCTGAACATATTAATAAAAACTTTTGCATTCTTATAGAATAGTATATTTTTCCTTTATGATTTGACTTTTTATAATTGATTGTATTTTTAGTGAATTCATTGTCGCTACCTTCCAATGCATCATTCAAAATGCTTCCACTATTTGCTAAATTAGTTTTTTCAAAATTTTCACTGTCATTTGTACTTAGTAAAGCACTTTGAGAGTCGTCTAGTGGTTCTACTTTAATACAAGATTCCGCATCATTTTCAAGACATTTATTCTCCTTTTTAATTCCAGGCATCATTCTCCTTCCAATTGTACTTAGAAATAAAAACACATATACACATTTATTATTTAATATTTTATTTATGAGTTATGAAATTAAAACTAATTATAGTTATATGTTAATTTAGATGAATAAATTTTATTATTTTCAATAACTAATTAAATTTTCTAACAAAACCGAATCATAACATTTCCCACAATACAACAATTAATATAATATCTCAGTTTTGACATTTCATATCTACAAAAAAAAAGTTAAAAACGAAAACATGATTTCAATAATGACAACTTCAAAAATTAGATTAGTCAAACCATAATAAACGTAGCAAATATACTATGTATATAAACACAATTAGTAAGCTTATATTCTACTTGCACGTGACTTTAAGCGGATTTCGGTTTGAGATCATATAAACACTACTTGACTTGAAATTTTCAAGACAAGTCGATTCGATAAAATTATAAACTTGACTTAATAATCGACTGCATATAATATGTACACGGATTAAAAGTTTGATCATCTTCTTATCAGCTAATGTAAAATTCAAGTCAATTTTAAGTAATATTATTTTGATTTGTACAGATTGAAAACAATAATAATAATGCACTCGAAATAATACTAATAATAATATAAACATAATTTTTACGAACACTTTTCTAAAAGAATTTGAAGAAAAAAGTCATCATTTATTGTTCATGGTCTTTTCACAACACAAAAATTAAATTTCAACCTAGTCAACTTTTAATTTAATAACAAACCTGTCTCTCGAACAATATTTTTGAAAGCAAATCTAACTTCTTTAAAGTTTGTCGATTGGCTCTTTTTATTTGTATATTTTAAAGTTAGATTTTGTTTACAAAAAATTCAAACTAATAATGAAAATAAAAATACAGAAAGACATAGCTCAAAAAGAATTCGAATTCAAAAAGAAATTGGATTTGAACAACTTTTTGACTAAGTAGCAACTATTTATTCTTGAAGTTTGTTGGTATCAAAATTTAATTAAGTAATTTTCTAATTGAATTATTTTAAAATAAAATTTAAAAATACTTTAATAAATTATAAATATGTATTACCATTTACTCTATAATTAAGTACAAAAATTGGTTAAGTTACGATTTTCAAATGCTTTTTGACGCCTAACATATGTAATTGCTCAAGGTGGATTTTCATTTATTTCAGTTGAGATAAGAAAGAAATAAAAAACTTATTTCCTAAAAAAATCAACTGCTTTGAATTCATTATTGTTTCTGAACGCGTGTGAAAATCTTTAGAATTCCGGTGTATTGCCTAATTGTCGTGCTTTTGGTATTTTGCTGAATACAGACTGTCAATAAACTGTCACACTTTATTTTCTCATTTCTGAATTGGCTGCTTATCAAGTAATGTAAATAAATAATATCAATAGTACCCTACATAAGTTATAAATTGGAATTCTAATAATTCTATTTAATAAATCAAATTTGCGTTCTAACTAACATTTTAAAATGTCTATTGTGATATCTATTGTTTAGAGGAGATTTGTGTTCATTTGGTTTATTTAAAAAGTATTTTGCAATATATTTTCTTTAGCGGTTTAATTTCTTATCAATTTTTAAAAATGACCTCAAATGAGGTGTTGACCCAGTTTCAGAATTGTCGATTGATAAGAAATCATCAACTTATTATAGAGGACCTCTGGATTCGAAATGGGAAAATAATTAATCCCGAAAAAGTTTTCTTCGACGAAAAACGTGCAGCAGATATTAAGTACGATTGCAAAGGCTGTATAATAGCACCAGGTTTTATTGAATTGCAAATAAATGGTGATTTGCAAATTTATGCATACAATTTAACTTTTAAAAGTTTAAGCTTCGAATTAATTTAAGGTGGATACGGAGTTGATTTTTCTCATGATGTTGATACGGTTGAAATAGGTATTGAAACAGTTGCTAAGGGTTTGCTGTCAACTGGTGTTACCTCTTTTTGTCCCACGATTGTAACGTCACCAAAAGAGACTTATCATAGGATTTTACCTAAAATAAAAAAGAAGCAAGGCGGAAAGCATGGTGCTACTATTTTAGGAATTCACCTTGAAGGCCCGTTTATTAATCCCAACAAAAAAGGAGCACATCCTGAAAACTTCATTCTTGATTTCGACCATGTAAGTACAGGATGTATAATAAAAACATGTTGAGCATAATTTATCTTTCATCTTTATAATGATCAAGGGATTCAACGAGATTCTTGAAACTTATGGATACCTTGAAAATACAAAGATTATAACATTGGCACCAGAAAAGAAAAATTCGGAAATATTAATTAAAGCCTTAATTAAAAAGGATATCACAGTTGCGCTAGGACATTCCATGGCAAATCTCTCTGAAGGCGAAAAAGCAGTTGAAGCTGGTGCCACTTTAATAACCCATTTATTTAACGCAATGCTGCCTGTAAAGTTTTAATCATTTTAAGTTCTTTTACTTTATTTTGTATTCCAATATATTTTAGTTCCATCATAGGGATCCTGGTTTAGTTGGGCTATTGGCTTCAGATAAAATCTTAAATGAACCTCCCATATATTTTGGGATAATAGCAGATGGTGTACATACTCACCCATCTGCTGTAAGAATTGCCCATCGTACAAATCCTAACGGATTGATAGTTGTTACAGATGCTATTTCTGCTATGGGATTGGAGGAAGGTATACATCATATAGGACAACTTGACCTTGAAGTAAGGAATGGTAAAGCCTACATTGCCGGAACAAGTACATTATGTGGTAGTATTGCAACCATGGACGAGTGCGTTAGAATTTTGCAAAAATTTACTGGTAAAATAATTTTAAAAATTTATTGACATGATTGTGGTATCCCTGTACTTAATATTTATACACTGAGTTTAGTTTAACAAACATATTTTATTTTAAACTCTAATTTCAGGGTGTTCTTTAGTTTACGCCCTCGAAACTGCTTCACTTCATCCAGCTAAGTGTCTTAAAATCGATGATAAAAAAGGTACTTTAAATTACGGTTCCGACGGTGATTTTATATTTTTGAACGATAATCTCGAAATTCTATCAACTTGGATTGCAGGAGAATGTGTGTTTATTTCGAAACAAAAAGACAACATCTTGAAACAAGAATTTGAAAAAATTTCTAAGGTTAATTCATAAGAAATATTTACTATTTTTTAACATTGCATTTTTTAAATTTGTGTTCCTTGGAAAATTTTATATTTTATACATAAATGTTTATATTTTTAAGTACATATATACATTTTATACATATAAAAATTTTTTTTTGGTTATTTTATTTATTTACTTCAAGTTGCTACAAGCTATTCAAAAATTATAAAATAGCAATTACTGTAACTATAGTCCACTGAACTGAAATGCTTACACACACAAAGATGTAAGCATTTGCGCTTTACAGAAAGAAATTTCAGAGGAAAATTAAAAGAATATTTAAATGCCCCATCGCTGATAGCCAATCCCCCCAATTCTTAACAACATACGAATTATATTGAAGTTGAACCGATTTAAGCAGTTCGGAAAAATTTTTTTAATGCGGTGGCCTTATACTTACCAGGGTAGTGGTTATTCCTCAATTTATTTTCTATTGAAATTATTTTTTAGTTTGAAAAAAACTATTTTCATTTTCTTAATATTTTTTTATTTTTATTTTCGTATATTGAAAGATAAATGAACAGTTAAAACCGTTTAATTGCTTCTTTTTAGGCTCTTCTAACTAAAATCTTAAAAATAAGTTTTTTGCATAATTATAATTGATCGCTAATAATTAAAAATTTTACTTTTACAGATTTATTGGTTAAATGATATTAGTTACATGTATGTACATACAAAAATTATTACTTTAGTATGTAAATGCAACAATTATTACTTTACTTTTAACTTTAGAAATTTAGACATACTACAATTTTCGAACGTACTTCTTTTTTATCCAAACGTCTTATTTTAGTAAATTTCAAAGTTTTAATATATCGAAGATATTTGGTACATATTAGTTGTAAGGTAACACTAATTATCTTAAATATGCAATACGAGTATTTACTTGGATATAAATATGTTTTCAGTGAAGATTTATAATAACAAGCAAATACTCGTATGTTTAGAGTTTGGTGATTTTGCCCTATAAGAATTTTTCAATTTAAAATTTATCTTGAACTTTTTTTCGTAATTTAACTTAGCACCCTTTTAAATAGTGCAGAAAATTTATGTATTGATTGATTTTCTAAAAATTTTCTAAAAATATATTTTTAATAAAATTTATTTTAAATGCAAACTTCCTTCTTTTGGCACTTTGTTTTTGTAAACATCAAAATAAAACTCCTAAATTTATTTATATAAAAATATTCTTAAGTATTTTAAGATGTAAATGACTTAAAACATAAAAGGATGGTGATCATTTCTGTTTTTCATACAATGGTAAATTCTTAAACGTCAAATTTTACAAAATCTGAGATGTCTGAGTTTACGAATACTCTACTGCGTTTTTACTTTCAGTCAAAGTTTAAATTTTTAAACGTTTAAAAAAAGTCAATTAAGCGTCAAAATTGTAGATTTTTTTTTTTACATGCAGACAGTCTGACGTAGTAATTCGGTAAATAAATTTGATGTGTTGAGTGACTATCATTACGTTAAAAATAATATAAAAAATATTTTTTTTGTTAATTTTTAATATGTAAGTATAAAATTATTTTAAATCTAAAAATTTTTTTTTTGTTTTGACTTTTACGGATGATCAAAATTCAAAGTCAATTACGGGTAAAAAGTTTACTACATTTCTGTCTGTAAAAGTTTTATACGTCAGACAGTTTGCAGACTGAAAACAAAATTTTGAGGTTAAAAAATTTGCGTAACTCTATACATTTTTTTTAAAACTAAAAGGAAAATTAGAGTTCTTTTCTACACGCGGTGGCCTCACCATCGACGTTCAATAACAACAACTACAACGACTATGTTACATATTACAAAAACAAATTTTCGGTGTCGTTGAATTAAATGAAACTTTAATTTAGTTATTGTAGTTGGAAATTTGGCAGTTGTAGTTGTCGTTCTCATTGAGTGTCGACGGTTATATGTACTTACCAAGGTAGTGAATATGTAAAAGCGATCGATCGATCATAGATAATTATTTTTTTGCTTTTTTATTTATTTTTTTTTAAATACAGTTTCTTATTCAAAAATTTTGCTCTCTAATTCCTTACCCTACCCTTCCATTTGAAGGACAGAAAAGGTTGGCTACGTTAAAAATGGAATTTTTATTTCTTTAAATGCATTTTTTTAATATGCATTTATGTATGTAGTTTTTTCATAGTTTACAATACTTCAAACATTTGTTAAAAGTTAAGAAGAATTTTGTAATTTTTTCAAGAAGGTTTGTGTTACTCTTATAGCAATAACTTTCGCGTCTGGATCATTTGCAGTTAGCCCACACTTTTCCAAAAGTTCATGAATTTCATTATTCAGTTCTTCTTTTTGATTTTCGTTTAATTTCAATATTTTTTCACCTAATTCTCTGAAGTCTAAAAAGAACAGTTCTTATTAAAACAAAAAACAAAAAATAATTAAATATCTAAAAATTCATACTTTCATCCGCAATTGGTACTGGCAAATTATTTAGAGCTGAAAAATAGAGAAAACAAAGGATAGTTAAAAAAAGTGAAATCTTTAACAAAGAAAAAAAGCCACCCTACCCTGACTTCAGAATTTTATTACTTTATTAATATAAATTTCAGCAATTATAAGTTATAAGTTGAATTGAGCGCTAAACAGTATAAAAAGGTGTTAAGCATATGCTTAAGCATATTTTATATTCAGTCCTATCATGAATTTTGCTTGTAGCTCTAAAATTCGGAAAATTACGAATGGCATAATATTATCAATTACGAACTACTGAAGTTCTGTTCCGAATATTCGTAATGGAATAATTATAAATTACGTTAGTTTATAAATTACATACGTAATTATAAACTACCCTCAAAAGTTTACGAAAGAAATAATCACACGTAAGAAGTCATTTAAAGAGAAGGGCAGTATTAACTTTTAAAATTTTGAATTTTTTTGTTTGAATTTGAATTACGCTACCGTGAGGAGAAATTATCTTTCATACAAGAGAATATTTTAAAAAATATTCTTTTACGTGAATATTTAAAAAAATATCCTTTTGTATAAAAGTTGTCTACTGAAACAGCAACCAAAAAATATGAACAACCATTTGATAATAATTAAAATAAAATACTGATTTTAACATTCCGAAAAATGATACTCTCATTGATGATTCATAATCTCTGCGAAAGAAAGTTGTGATCATTAAAATGTCTACTTAATTATGTTCGTAATTCATAGGATTTTAAGAGTGGAATTCATAATAGAACTGATTATGTAATGAATAGGACTTACATCTATATATTTTGTACACACACATATGTATGTATATTTGCCGAGTGAAATTAGTACGAGTAGCGCAGTTAAACCGTATGAACTATTTTGACTAAACAGTTAAGAATAGTCAAAAATATATTGTATTATCATCGCGCTGTATTTTTTGAAGCATTGCGTTTCGCAGTTATTATTTTGCAATATTGCGTTTATGAAAATCTCATGTATGAAGCGAAGTTAAAAAACCGGAAAGTGATGATAATGCACCACTGTACCACAGAAATGGATTACAAAGGATTCTAAACAATTGTCGATTTCAATTTTTTTGTACAATAATATATTATGTATGTTCACAAGTGTACAATATTTTTTCTTCATTTAATATTCTTTATACTTATGTACATACAAATACCATACTTATGTATATATAAATAATAATAACATAAATTAAATAAAAAAAAAATCTGATGTGATCAGTACATAACCGACCGCAATGTGTATTGTCTAGTTAATTGAAAATGTTACAGAATAATATAAAAATGTCTGTTAAATACTTCTTTCGAATTTTTAGAACATTAGTAAGCTTATATTTAACATATCTAGAAAAATGTAAATTTGGCTCTTAGTAGAACTTCGTTTTGTGCTACCCGAATTCTTGAAATGCTCGCCAATTATTTTCGGTAACAACCAGAACTCAAATATCAAATCGTTCCGTAGATAGGGTGAAAAATGTAAAATCGGCCCGCAGATCAGTTTTCGAGCCCTGAACTTTTCAAAAAATTTCACGAGGAATTCAAACATTAAATTTCAATGAAATCGGTTGATTATTTCTCTTTATATACACAAAAATGTATATTTGGCCCATAGTAAACGTCTAGTTGCTGACGCCTGATTTCTTCCAAAAGTTAGGAGGTTTTGCGACCGGTCGAGCGAACCTTATATATGAAATTTCAAGCAAATCGGTTAAATAGTTTCTTTAAAATGGTCAAAAATGTAAAACAGGCCCGCTAAAAAATACAGTTCCTGAAGCCTAATATATCCCAAAAGTTGATCAATCCGTGCCATGGTGGTAATAAACTTACATATAAAATTTTATCAAAATCGGTTCAGCCGAACTTGAGATACAAGCGTGCACACACAGACCGACAGACCGAGAAACCGACAGGTTGCTAAAAATAGTTATTTACACTTCCTTACTATGGAGAAGTGCATTCCCACCGAAAACTCGATATGCAAAATTTGTTGCCATCACATAACCTACTTATTATATACACAATACGGTCGGTAAAAATTAATATGTATGTATGTGCATATTTATTTAACAATGGGTACATACCAACTTTCCAATCTACAACTTCTGTGTCTTCAATTGCTCCAACATTTTCATTATAAGCTATTTCCTTTGGAATTGATATTGATGTTGACGGAAATTCTTCTTTCAAAGCTTTGCAAACATAGAAAAAACAATATTTTATTCTGAATAATAGAATTACTTATTAAATTAATAATATCCGGACCTGGGTATTGGAATTAAATTCTAATTAGAACTAAAATATCATAACCGAATTTTTTTTACTATATTATAAAGGACGATTAAAAATATTATAAACTCAATTTTAATATGATATTCCTTCAACTAAAAGCGTTGAAATTGAAAGAAATGGCCAGGCCCGCAAATTTTATAAACTCCCGGGGCCTTAGTATGTATTTAGATTTTTGTATAGAAATATTCAGAAAAATTGTATTGTAGCACCAATCAATTCGTACGGTACTGTCTTACCACTTTTCCAAATAGAAAGATCGTTTCACAAAAACCGAATTACATTTAAAGGCCCCTATATACAGAATTAATTTTTACCTGGCGTATTTGTTTTATATGCAATATTGTATGTTGCATTTGGATTTTTTTGTATACAACTTTGTTTCGCGAGTATTTCAAATAAAGTACGTATTTTTAATTCATTCCGTTTTTCAATATAATTTTGCCTTTCAATCATTTCTGCTTTATCCTCTTCGTATTGTTTATCCATTTGATTTCGTTTAACCTCCAATTGTTTAATTTTGTTCTCATATGATTTTTCATATATTTTGCCTCTCTCAGTTAAAATGCTTAATTCAGTTTCAAATCGTTTGGTAAGCAACTCTTGGTTTTTAAGGTTGTCTTTTTGAAGTTTTTCTTCTTGTTGTTTTAAACTTGATTTTGCTTTTTGAATTTCAGTGTCAAGTTCCAAAATATTTTCATTTAATATTTTATTTTCAATTTTGCTTCTTTCTTCAATTTCATTCTGCGTTTCCATAAGTTGTTCTTCAAGTCCTTCTTTTTTCTTTTGTAGCTTTTCAACTTCATTTTCGATACTCCTTTCCATTAGTTTTTTCTCTTCACAAAGATGCGCTTTCTCCAATTCGAATTTTCTTTTCACATGCGCATTATGTTCTGTATTATTTTGATCAAGTCTTTCGAATTCTTCCTTTATTTTTTGCCTTTGAGACTTAGATTTTTCATCCATCTCTTGTTTCCATTGATTTAATAATTCTTTTTCATTTTCATTTTGTTCTTTCAATTGCTTCTCAATTGCAGACACTTGTTCTCTTATCATATCATTTTCTCTTTTCTGTTCTTTACGTTCTTCCGTTAATATTGTTTTGAATTCTGGTTGACTTTGTTGCCCTCCCATAATGTTTTTTATTAAAATTTCAGCAAGTTGAACAACTGGAATTTTATTAGTCAATTGATCAGTAATTTGTCTCTTTCGCAACATATTTGGTGAATTACTTCTGGAATCACTCAAATTCTCTTTATTAAGTTTAATTTTATCCACTTTGGTTTTGATTTAAATTTTATTAAACTTTAAAATTTAAATTTTTTAATAAAATCATAAAATATGTATTATTGCAATTGGATGTATCCGGTAAACATTCCTATTGCGTTTTTTTTTTTGTTAATCACAAGCAGATCGCGCACACTCTGATTTTTCCTAAATTTCTATCAACTAATTTTTTACTTTATGCAATGTGTTCTAAACTTAAAACGAATTAACCTTTGACAAATACAATATAAAGTACATAAGTATGTTTGGGCATATAAAACAAGTCAGTCAATTCATAAAACTTGAAAAAACTTTAAGAGAAACAATAACGTAAGAAAAAAAAAATATATAGGTATATATATGTATGTATGTACATTTCATAAAAATAAACCAGACGGAAAAATTAAAAAACTTCTAAAAACTTTATAAATAGATGATAAACGTCAAATTTCAAAATATGTATGTACGTATATATCAAACATAAAAAAATATTTTTTGGTTATAAATATTATATGATATTGGTTAATGGTTATATATAATATCAAAAAACAGAAAATTTTTATTTTGGCTTATGAAAGAGCGAAACTTAACAAAAACCATTTGAGAATCCAGTTTCTTTATTTTATTTTTAATTAAGCAATTTTGAAAAACTGATTAAACATATTAAACAAATTAAAACTTATTCAAATACAAAATCTTCTTATATAACCAAAAAAACACACGTTTTAATAATTTATTTTAAGATTTTAAAAATTTTTAAAACAGTAAAGTTTGCTATACAAAACCTGACAGAACTTAATCATTGAGAAAATGACAACGTCATCATTTTCTCTCATTTTTATTTAAAAAGTATTAGATCAAACGTATAGCATGCAAAAATTTTATAAAGTTTTTGCAAGTTTTATAAAATTTTTAAAAACCTTCTTATACCAGACAAACCTACAATGTAATGTATGTATTAACATACATACATATATAAATCATGTTAATTATAACTAACAAAGTTTATTTTTTGCTGATATTAATTTCTAATAATAACGTAGATAAAAAAAAAAAAGGGAAAATTTGACCACATTAATATTTTCGGATGTTTCACAATATTAGAACTTCAAAAACATAATAAATAGTTAATAATTTTAACAATTCTGAAAACCTTTTCAAAATAAACCCCAAAATTAAATCATGATTTAAAAAATTTCCAAAAATTCCAAAATAATATTGCATCCGTGAGCTAAAGCACAGGCATCTTTATATACAATGTACATTATTGAAGTTTATGGCTAAACTCAAAGCTTATGTTTAAAGTTGACGTTGGATAGTTTATTATGATTGGTTAACAAAATGATATTGCTACATGTATTTAAAGCTTTCAAACAGGCTTTTATAATTTATATAAGTAAGTATTACTGTTTTTATATATATGTAAATACGTGCGTAGTAAATTTTATTTTTAATAATTATTTTTACTTTAAATTTAAATACTAACGCGTCGCTTTAAGTTCAAAACAAAACTGAGTACTAAATGGGCACATGGTATGGTATATAAAATGAAATAATATACAAAAATATTTTTTATTTTACTTCAACTAAGCATACACATGTAGCATTGATGTACATACAATTGCATATGTTTTTATTACTTATTTTATGTAAATGTATACGTATATGTTATGCATACTGACATACGTATATTAAAATATACGTACATATATATGTCTATACATTACATGTAACATATACATAAATCCAAAGTTATTGTAATGAAAACGAAAGTAAAGTCTAACTTAAAAAAATACTTTTACAGTAAGATGCACAGGCATCTTTTATAAGTATAAGGCTCCGGAATAAACACTTTACTAAGCCATACATACGATGTAGTGAAAATTGAACATCGTACTTTTTGTTAGAAATGTGTTTTATATTAGGTGTTTTCGAATAAATTAAAAATGTTCACGTTGTTTTGGGATCTTTAAAGAATTAAAAATGATTATACGAAATGTATACAGAGATTATTTTATTTCGTTTTAAGGATAACATGAAATTTCATGTTTCCACAAACTAGAACAACAAATTACAGATAACAAAACATTTTTCAGGTAAAACAAAAATAGTTAATACATAAAAAAAATAATTTTTGAAAAAAATTTTTTAAATTCATTTCTTTCAGTAACACAATTTTTATGTAAATATGTTATGTAAAAAAAATAAAATTTTCATTCCATTTTTCTTAAAACTAGTAATATTTGATGAGAAAACCTATAAATTTTATCACATAAATGTACTTACTTATCTAAGTATGTGATCTTCTATGTGTGCTTGGAAAGTGGCAGAAGTTATTATGGTGTTCAAACCCGGAAAATCCTTGAGGGAAATAAAGTCTTACAGGCCCACAATGATGGCTAAGCTTTTTGAGAAACTGCTATTAAGGAAATTGAAGCCAATAATATAAAATAAGGGCCTCATACCAAGCCATCAGTTTGGATTTAGAAGAAATCATTCTACAATAGACCAGATCCGTAGAATAACGAATATTATAGGAAAGAACTTAGAAAATACGGATATCTGCTCTTCTATATTTCTAGACGTAGCACAGGCAGTCGACAGGGTATGGCAGAAAGATCTTATATTTAAGTTAGCACAAATGATACCATCACCATTTGTAGCAATTTTGGAATTTTACTTAGCTGATAGATTATATAGAATTAACAAGACGCTGAATACTCCACGCTAATAGAAAAAAGATATGTAGGTATATTAGGCCAACGTTACACGAGTGACCTACCACAAATAGAAAATGCTACGGTTGCTGACGATACTGCAATATTGACACTAGTCATTGACAATAGGAATAATAAAAATATAGAAAATAGAAAAGGACAATAGGACAAGCAAAAATAGGAATCCATAACTCAGCAAAATACCTAGGAATGACTTTAGATGTCAAACTATGGTGGAAAGAGCATATAAAGAAACATATAGAATTAGAAAATAAATATAGATAAAATTATTGGCTCCTAAGTTGTAAGTCCAATTTGGCAACTGGTAATAAAATATTGATTTATAACCAAATTATTAAACCAATATGGCTGTATGGCATTCAACTGTGGGATTGTCATAAGAAGGCTCATATTAACAAAATTGAAACCGTCCAGAATAAAGTTCTACGGGATATGGTAAATGCGCCATGTTTGTACGTAACAATAACATCCACAGGGACTTAGGATTTCCTTTAGTTGTAGATGAAATTAGAAGTTATGCTATAAGGCATAAGGTTCTTCTAGTACAGCACAGCAGTTTTTACAAATTAAAAATACTTCGTTGGTATCCAATTCGCTTTTCCTAACACTTGTATTCATTTATCCCTGACGACCTCGTTCTTTAGAAAAATAAATGTAAGTATAGCATTTATATATACATACATACATATATTTCATTTAATATGATTACAATAAAAACTTTAAAAAATCTTTGTTTCGTAATGCTTAGGGTTTTCTTATAAATCGTTTGTTTTATTATTGAATTCGGGGAAGTCCCGTTTTTGAACACTTTGAACAGCTATCGGTATTCGGTAGGAGATAACATGAGAGAGTAAAATTGTATACACATACATATGCATAAGTATGTATATAATAAAATTATGTTGTGCCACAGCCATCTTTATTGGTTTGGTATTATTGGTATTGGATCACAGCCATCTTTATATATACATTATAGGAGGCTATGTATTGGACATATTCCTGGTACATTATAGGAGTTTATGTGCCACAGCACCAATACAGACATGTTTATTCTCTTTATAGTACATTATAGGAGTTCATGGTTGTGCTATACAATCATTAATGTTTTATACAACACAAATGACTTGTCTTACATCTGTATTATATAAAATATCAATTTTGGGTATATTGATCTTGATGTAATTGTATTACTCAAAACAAGACTAGTTCGGCTAGGTATATGAGTACATGAGAGAAAAAATACAGCAGCAGAAAAATCGTTTTACAAAATTTACTTTCCTTACGTTCTCCTAATTACATAATGTATGTACATAGAACTCAGAGAATGTTATTTTACAAAAATCAGAAAAAGAAATCGAATTCTTTTAAATTTATTAAATAATTTGTAATTAGCTGTTTGTATTAAATTTGCCTTAAACAACAAATTCTATTATAAAAATTTACATTCAAAAATATGTATGTAAATGTATCGATGAGTATTTGTAAATGTATATGTTGGTTAAAACGTGTAAGTATATACATACATTGAAAATTTTGTTAACTAATTCATTTGCACAAAAACTAAATGAAATTAAAAAATGAAAAATAATGCCAAGTGGCTATGTATGTATTCAAATTAAGTTTTTCCAGATTAGTGTCAGTTAGAAGCTCGTTGATCAAAACAGTCTACAAATTATACTTTGATATTATTTAAATTTTATTGAAAAATCAGAATTTCAAATATGTGCCCCACTTATAACGGTTATTGTCAAAATTGTTCACAAAAAATAGATAATGAACTTCAAGAAAAATATAGAGAACTTGATGAAATGTTTAAAAAAGAAGAACTTCATTTATCGCAATTAGAAAAACTTCATCAAGAAAATGATAATAGAAAAAAGAATAAAATCAGAGAAGATGAAGATATTTTGGAAAAAAATAAAGAATCAGAATACAAAAAAATTGAAGAGGAAATAGAACATTTAAACAAAAGTTTTTTTAAGAAAGAAAAAGATCTGTATTTAGAATTTGAGTTTGAAAAGCAAAATTTAATTGAAACTGAAAAATTAATAGAACGGCAAATTCAATTTGAAGAAAAAATTTTATGTGAAATGAAAACAAATATTGAAGAGCAGTGTCATGAAAAAGAAAACCAATTACAACAAGAGCGGAAGTTTATAAATCAAAGTTTAACTGAAAAACAAAATAATTTAGAAAAAAATAATGATATGGAAAAACTAAACTTAAATAAAAAGCGATATGAAATGGAAAAAGAAATTTTAAAAAAACAAGCCGAATTGAGAAATGAAACAGAAATAAACTATAGGGCTATGTTACATGAGATAAATAATAAGAGAATAGAATTAGAAATTGAAGAAAACAATTTAAATGACCAACGAAAATTGATGAAAGAGGAGCTTAAAATTAAAGAAGATTATATAAATCGAAGAACCAACGAAATTGAAAATACAGCTAAGAAACTAAATGAAATGCAAGAGCAAAATTTGATCGATAAACAAAAATATTTGGAGCGGGAAAAAAATTATAACCACTTTCCAAATAACATAATCTTCAATGTTAATTATTTCATACGGACATTAGGTAATTTATTAAAAAAGCAGGTTAAAAAACAACGCAAATTAAAGTCTATTAACTGCGTCGTAAGTCGAAGATCTAGTTCCTTCCGTCTTTCGATTACGGAGTGAATCAAGCATAACCTAAGAGACTGTAATAAAACAAGTAATTTTGTCATTTTTAAGTTTTTCTTTCGGTTTGTTTAGTTTCTTCTCAAAAGTTTTCTTCCTTGTTTCTTGCTTTCTATCAAAATTCGGTACATAATAAATTTTTTAAGGTCCTATTACACCGACCACTTTTTCCTTTTTTTTTTTATTATAATTTCTTGGGAATAATAGGGTTCGGAAATCGACCTTGGGGCCGATTCACATTTTCTGCCATATCTACGGAACTAACATAATTGATGGAATTTTTTGAAATTTAATATTTGAGTTCTGATTGTTACCGCAACTATCTAACGAAGTTTTCAGGAAACTCGCATGGTTCAAAGAGAAACTTTACTAGTAGTCGAATACGTATATATTTTTTTTTTGGGTATGTTAAGTAAAAACATACCAGCGTTATCAAAATTGGAAAGAAATAAAAATAATAAAAAGATAAAAATATGTAATAATGTCTGTACCTTATTCAAAAAGTACTATTTCAACTTACGGGTCTTTTCTTTCTTATGTTTGTCATTATATTCATATGTACTTATACCTACATGTATGTATGTACATAAAAGTGTATTTTTATGTTTAATATGTTTAATGTATTGAGTTACAAGCTTGAAAGACGAGATTGAATAAAATAATTGGTGAAATTAATAAAGTAATTGATAATAAATTAATATATTTAATTTCTCATTTTATCCAAAAATAAAAGGTAATAATGATATTCTGCCGCAACCAGGAAGTATTGAGCAAGGTGATGTTATTTTTTTTTAAATTTTTTAAAACAAAACTTTTAATTTTGCTTTGTTTTAATAGATGAAATTCATTTACGTGAAAGAATAAAGAATCTAACTAAAAATGAAATGGAAAATTTAACAAAAAAAGTGTGCAAGGCTCTTGATCGATGTGGAATTTATGACAAAGATGATCCTATTGCCAAGATGATTATAATTAAAGCTACAAAAAAATTTCTAAAAGAAGGCGTCTAATATTACGAATGAATGAAATTTTATAAAATCATAATCTTATAGAATTGCATCATATAGCATCATTTACATTTTAGTATTCCTATTTTGAGTTTTAAAAATAGATGTATGTAGGCAAGTGCCTAATTATATGTGTAACAAAGAGTAAATAACATGTATGCATAAATTAAATCCGTGTTTCATTTCTGTAATATTAAAAAAAATAACTATTGATACCGAAAAATCAAAAGTGACTTATAATTTCTAGCATTAAAAAACTGCAAATAATGCAACAAAGTCAAATTGAGAAATTGTCATTTTAATTAGTTCAAATTTGCTATTTTCGATCACACCTTGTTTAAGTTTAGTTGTCGTTGATCAATGAAAAAAAAAATAATGAGATAAAGCACTATTGACATTTATTAAAATGCAGGTCGAACGTCAACTTGGTTTACATATACATACATACATATATAAGTTACCAACAACATTAATCCAACATTAAACATTCTCATGTTGCAATTTAATATTTATAAAGTTTAAAATTCCTCTTACAAAATATTTTTAGACGTTCTCGCTTAGTAAAAATTTTTATGCAATTTTTATGCAAAAAATGCAGAATTCTTTAAATTGATAAAATTATTTCACTCTTAAAGTAGCTTTTAGTGAATACAGATGCACAGAAAATTATAATAGAAATAAAATCGAAATTTTGTTATTCAAAATAAAATCAAATCAAAGTTTAAAGGAATTTTTTTTATGAGTTTTACTAATTTAATTAAATCAAGATTTTGGACAATAAATAATATTTAATTTTTGGATAATATGGAATTTGGATTCGAATAAATGAAATATAATATTTTATATTTATACAGAAATCAAAAAATTAAAATGTACTTTTTACACTAGTGTAGATCTGTCAAAATTTAGGTCCATACATATTTTTTTTTTTCAGAGAACACGAGTTTTTATTTTACGATCAGAATCTACTCAGACTCTGCGTACTCGAAAAAAAGCACAAATTCCTGATTTAACAGAGTTAATGTGTATAATATTTAGAATGAGCTTGACAATTCAAATTTGATATATGTATTAGATATATTAAATGACAAAATCAGAATCCGATCAGCTCTGATACCTCGAAAAAAAATTGAACTTATATGCTTATATCTTTCACCTCTGAGATAACGAAAAAAAATTGCACTTATATGCATAGGGTGTTTTTGAAAATGCAGTTCTTAAGGTTAGAATTGCAAAGCTTTTAAAGCTGCATCTGCAGTTCTAACCTTAAACTGCATTTTTAAAAGCACCCGCATTATATCGCGAAATGAGATACATAATTACAAATAACTACATATGTATGTACGTACATATATACATATATATATTTATGTATGTATTAATATTTTTTTAAAATAATAATTGTTACAAGAAAACAAAACTTAAATTTTAGAATTTTTAGACCTAAAAGCAAAAATATTTTTTTAAGGAATTATGAAATTTTATCTTAATCGTTATTGACCTTGTGTTAGGAACATTGATAAAAATTGTATTTCCAAAAATAATAACTTTATCAATAGCATAATGCTATTTATTCTTATCTCATTAAAATGTGAAGTCATCGAAATTTAATAAGAAGGTAACATATTGAAAAATAAAAAACGGCTTACAAAATATTAAAACAGACTTTAATTTAAATATTAAAATATTTTTGCAGACATTCATATACACACTTGCATATGTATGTATATGTACATAACGTGTATTTTTTAAGGCCTTCAAAACTTTTTTTGGAATGTACGTTGTGATTTGAAGTCTCTAATTTTCATCGTTTCTAAACGGGTTCTTCTTCAATAATAGCTTAACGGGCATGAAAAAATCAATTTAATTCTGAGCAAAAAAATAAACCATAAATATTTTGCTTACATATATATATGCATTTACATATGTATTTATGTATACTTTATAGGGTCGCAAATAATTCCATTGTGGTGTTGCATACATTGTGACAAATTGAATTATGTATGTATGTATGTATGTATGTATGTAGATGATAATTTGGCGTCAACCATAATCTTATATTTTAATAATAATTAATAATAATATTATTAATTATGCAGGGTATTTCGTATAAGATGGCTAATAATTTTAGGGATGATTCTTTGATCAATTTCCAGCAAAAAATTCTATGAGGGGGACATACAGATATACTAGTTTTCGAGCTACAGCCTGTTGAAAAAAAAAATTCCTGACTTTTTCTGCATATAAACTTTGGAACCATACAACATAGTTTTGTCATTAGGAGCTTGTTTTACAGCTTACAGATTGATTGTTCTTTATTTTTGGTCTTACAATTAATTTGATTTGAGCCATAGATTTCGAGATACAGCTAGTCAAAATCAGAATTTTCGTTTTTTTTTCCGATTTTTTTTTACAAAACTCGAAATTACTCGAAAATTTTTGTTATTATTTTTGCGCTCACTTAACCCATATAACATTTCCCTCTATCTCTCATAATTTTTTCAGTAAAACGTGTTAAATGCGTTCACAAAACATGTGAAAAATGCATTTTTCATATAAACAACATTCACAAATATTTTTTTTAGTTTAATACGATAAATTTGGAATTTGTATGAAATGTATAGGTATATGTACATATGTACATATGTATGTATAAGAAAAATAAAACATTTTTGGCCTTGATATACTTACATATGTACGTACATATGTACATATTATTTTTCACTTTTTAAATAATATGTACATATTATTTTTCACTTTAATGTACATAAACTGTACTGTGGCTTAAACACGTTTTACAATACTGTAAAATTTTTGAAGAATTCCTGTTTTTGAAGTTTATAAAAATGCGTGTATGTATTATATATATGTACGTACATATTTTGTAAAATGAAATATATTATTTCGGGGAAATCCCGAAATATTAATATTGCGAATATGTATGTGTGAATACTTAATATACGAGTATGTAATTGTATTCGTTTAAAAACCAACATCCTAATACCTACCAGATATTGCATTTGTATTTGTAATTTTACTTCCGATTGATCTATACAAAATTATTTGTTTTATGCCATAGTTAATGATAGCTAAGCTGTACACATTCAAAATTCAAATTACATACATACATATGTATGTATTTCACATAAATTACATAATACATACATAGTAAATTTATAAAAAAATTAAGAGTTGCTCTGTTGCGTTATATTTCATAATTATAACGAAAAAAGTGCGCTGCGAGATTCATTAACTCATTTATTAGCCAATAAAAATAAAAAATTATTTTATAATATTACAAAATAAATAAAACAGAATACAGCCTACAAAACGAACTTAAACTCGAAATCCAATGGAGAGAAGAAAAGAATTTGAAAATCAAATTTTAGAACAACAAAAAGAGTTTCAAAAAAATATTGAGAACGATTTACAAAACATAATGGACGAGCAAGAAAAAATGTTTAAACAATTTAATGAATTGCGTGACAAAATTCAACTAGAATTTAAAAACCATCTAAGAGAAAGCGTAAAACAAAAACAAACTGAACAAAAAGTTGAAAATTTATTTTTAATATCAGACATTTTGGAGAAACGAGTAGAAAATTTAAAAGACAGTTTAATTGAAACGCGAAAACGGTTTGAATTGGCAAATGAATTAGCTAAAGAAAATATAAACGATCGACTGAATGAAAGCGAAAAACACTACAAATTTCTTATGGAATCTTTACTCGAAACGAAGAAGTTAAATGCAAAACAGAACACGAAAATCGATGCAACGAACATTTTGCGCGATATAAAACCAACAGGTAAGATTAGATTTTCAGATTGTTTGACATGCTTCTTATTGTTATGAGAAGCATGCAAATTTTATGAATAATTTCTTAAGCTTTAGTTAAATATTAAAAATATGTGTGTACAAGTATTGTGCACTGACACAAGGTTTTCAAGTCAGTATTTTCCTAATCTATTCTGTCACGTAGAGTTATGTTAACAACCTAAAATAGTTGTTAGTAAAGGGAGGTTTTGCAGTAGTTGAGGTAGAGATACTCTCACAGTCATTATTTCAAATAAATAATTTACTCTAACAATTTTTCTAAAGCTTCTAAATTTTTTAATCTTCGACTTCTTACTAATCAAAAATATCTGTTCTAATTGAAATATTCACTCCACGTAGTTTTATTTTTTCATACCATTTTCTCGGATAGTGTAATTTATTAAATGTACTTTCTAAATAATTTTAATTTTAGATTTAAAATTAAATAAGCTAAATAAAAGTTTAAGCATTCTTAGCGGGGAATTGGAATCTATTATGAGTACATGTCCTAAACAAACTAATAATAGATCGTTAGAATCACTTAAAAAGAGGACATCAAGTAAAACAAATATGGGTGCTTTCAAGGTAAACAGAAGAAATATGAAATGTTGGACTTTTTGCATCGTTTTTGCTGTGTTATTTTTAATTTTAGCTATTTTCATTAAACTCACACTTCCGTAGAGTATATAAAATGCCTTTATTGAAAAGAATTACAAACATTTGTGTAGTATTGAGGTAAAAGTTTTGTAAGTGTCAAAAATTATTTTATAGTAAAAAAAAAACTTCTTGACAATTGGTTATCAAATAAAAATGTTTATAACTTGTTTAGCTTTAATTTTTTTTTTATTATTTATAATTTTTAAGCATCTAACTCTTTCTGTAGACACACAATGGCGTTTCTCAATTCTCAAGTGGTATTCTCACACATTTTGTCGATTAAGTATTCTCAAGTGGTTCTTTTCCGACCACTAACGTTGGTTCGTTTTTTGATTTTGATTTGAATTTACCGTTTTACATAACCGTTTTAAATAAAAGAAAAAATTTGGATTTTTAGGTTAAATGTGAAATAAAGCTGATAATACTACTTGAAGATTTTTCTAAATAATTAACTTCGAACTCATAGAGTATAACAAAAACATAATATAGAAAAAAAAATAAAAATCTTTTAGAATCTCATGTTTAAATTTAATCTTATTTATGTATGTCATTCTAACCTATTTATAATCATTATACAATCACATTCCATTACTTTAAAATATATAATTCTAATTGAAGCAAAATATTCGGCGTCAAAGTGGTACCACACGTCGGGTTAAAAATAAGAACAACTGTTAATAAATAAGTTAGAAACAAATGAAGAAATAATGCATGCAATGTCATAACGTCAAAAATAACGTTCCGTATTGTTTTTGTTTTTTTTTGTAATATGACCCAGTAATCGTGACGTATTTACGATTATTATTTAAATTTAATAATTACATTCATTTCTAGCTTTACGGAACTAATATATTCCGAAAATTTTGTCCGTAAATCGAAATTCCGCAAATCGGATCTTTTTACTTACATTACGATACACCTACATAATTCTTTACCTAAACTTGTATAGGTACATATATTTCTTGTTAATTGTATACTTTAGAACCAACAAGAAATTTTAATTCTTGGAAAAAAAATTCATAGAATTAAGTTTTTTTTTATAAAAATTGTAATCTTTTAGACTACTGTTTTTTTTGCATTTTATAAATTCTCCGTAAATTTTCCGAATTTTTTTCCGTAAAAAGAGACTTTGCTTTAATTTTTACGAAATTCCGTATAAAGAGCTGCCGTTAAGCGTGGGATGAGTGTATTTAAATTTGAAGAATTTGTTATGCAAAAAAATATTTTTAAAATTTAAATTAGAAATTTAAGTGCACGTTTTAATTTTATGAAAGTAAAGATTTAAGTGTGATATCAATAGTTTTGCTCAATCAAATAAGAATATTAACATACATACATATGTAATTGAAAACTTACTTATTTTAATATCAATGTTTCAAAAATTTCAGAAAATATAAAGAAAGTTTCGGGAAAATTGCATCATTTAAACTCTTATTCTTTTGAAAATATATAAGCTACGTATTTTCCATTTCAAGAAAAAATAATAAAAGAAAAAATATAAAAATGTGCTTGAATATTTTTATTTTCTTTAAAATACCTAAATTAACAAGTATTATAATTTGAATTAATTTTTAGGTCTTTTATAAATTTTTTCATAATTTTAGTGGTAATTGTTAATGCAACAGAATTATCTGCGTTTGTTTCGTCTATTCCGCATTTTTCTAAAGCTTTTGTAATTTCATCTTCTAAATTTTTACGTTCACTTTCAGTAAGTTTTTCAAAATTTTCTTCTAATGAAACATCATCTTTAAAAAAGTAAATTTAATAGTTTTCTAATATTTTTTAAAATATTTAATGTATTAACTTCGCTTACCTTCAATATCGTCATTATTTATATTAGACGAATTATTAATAACTATTATACAAAAATGAATAATAAAAAATTTTTATAAGCGAAACTAATTAATGTGTTATAAAGTATACCATTTTCCTTATATTCAATTTTTTGCGAATCATCCAAACTTATTTCAGCCCTTGTAATGTTTTGTGATTTCAATTTCAATAATGAATTTTGTATTGATACTGGTATTGGAGGAATAGAAGATGTCGATCCCGATGGTAATGCTGACAATAACCTCAGACAATCTTCTGAGTCTGTAAAATATAAAATGTATATACATACATATATGTATAAGCGTTTGTATTCGAAAACTAAAATTATAGTAAATTATGTATAGTATTAGAGCTTCTACTTCATATTAAGCGAATTGTTCTTATGAAAACGTCCGGAATGTTATTCTTCTAGACGTATTGTCGAAAGAGAGATATAAAAGTTGCTAACAAAAATTAAAGAAAATAGAGAAGAGTAAGTATAATTAGATATTTTAATAGCAATATTAATTAATTTTATTAGTTATTGCTATTAAAATATCTAAGTAGTACACTTTTTACTACTCAAATCCATCAGCGAATGTAGGTATGTACATATATCTTAATTTACAATAGAAACCAAAAAATTAAATTTAATTTTATGATTCGATGAATTTCCACCCAAAGATGTTGATAATTTTTTTTATAAAAAAAAAATTAATTAACAAGAAAAAATAAAATTGCATTTTGTTTAAAATATTTAACAAATAAATGATAAATTAAAAAAAAAAAACCTAAAAGGGAATTTTTTTTTCTTTTTGAAAAAGTAGGCATTTTTAACTTGGAGTAAATTAAATACGAAAGTTTTTTAGTCAAATCATTTTAGGTTTTTCCAAATGATAAAATTTTTTAACCTTTTCCACTTATGTCACAATCGATGTTATAAGTAACACTTTCAGGCTTTCCACTATCACTTTGTATAAAAATTAATTCTGCAATATCAGTTGTAATTTTTTCCTCAATTTCATTATATCTTTCATATCTATTCAATCGTTCAAATAAACTTCGCCTTCGAATTTCTTCCTTTTTTATTAATTCCTCTTGCATTTCTTCAAGATGTTTTAAATCAATTTCAAGTCTCTTTTTTATCAATTCTTCTCTTTTTCTCAAAATTAATATATCATTTTCAAATTGCTTTGCATTTGCTTCTTTTTGAGCACATTGCTCTGTTTCAATTTTTTTTTGTTCTTCAATCAAATTTTTTGCTTCCCTATCAATTCGTTTTGCAATTCGATGTTGCTTCTCTATGAGCATTTGTCTTTTAAACTCATGTTGTCTTAAATTTTTTTCTTGCTTCGTAAGGGAGCACTTTTCTATTTCTTCAAGTTCTTCTTTTAATTTTTTCAATTCAATTTCAGCTTTTGTTTTCATTTGTTGGTATTTTTCGATAATATTTTCGTTTTCGATCTTATATTCTTCCTCAATTTGATTTATTTTTTCTAAATTTTCTTTTTTAATACGATCTTGCGCTTCCCTAAGCATTTCCGTATCATAATCGTGTTGCTTTTCATATTCCTCTTGTAATTCATTTAGTTTATTTTTTTCTATATCATTTTGATTTTTTATACGTTCCAAGGAATCCAAAATTGATTTTCTTTCATTAGAAGATAACTCTCTATTTTGTTTCACACTTTCTTTTAAATATTCGATTTCCATTCGGATTTTTTTGTCTCTTATTAAAGATAAAGTTGAAATCAATACACTCGCACCTATTGAAACAGCGGTAGTAATACCACTATTCATTCTTAATTTAAAAAAATAAAAAAACCCAAATTAATGATTTTCGCTAATAATTCTAACACAAACAGCACCACAACCGAGTATTCCCAATTTTAAAATACTACTGAAGTAAAGTTACTAATGAAATGGCATAAAAAATTTAAAGATTGTTTAAACGGTTTAAACGAGTGTTACATAAATAAAAATGATCTTATGTTCATTTACCTTTATGAAATATAGCAAACATGTATGTATATGTGAGCACCAAAGAGAGTGCACAAAAATTAATTGCTATGGGTTTGATTTGAGGGCTGTCGTTTGATTTTTTGGATGGGAAGCAGAAATATTCAAAAAAGGGAACCATTTTAAAAAAAAATGGAGCCAATTCTGATATAAACTAAAAAAAAAAAAACAATTTATTATCGTACAGATACAAAAAAAATAAAAACTTTGAACAAAAATTATAAATAAATTAATAAATAAATTCGAATTGAAAAAAATCACAACAAAAACTTAAACTTAAAATAATACGTTTATACATATTTTAAAGTTTAGACTCTAATTACGATGATCGGAAAATATCTTAAAATATTAAAAAACTCATAAAAATGTTTATGCCTTATTCATTTCCTTATACATAGATTAAAATGGTGTTGAGGAGGCGTACTTAAAAAAAAAATTGTAAGTTTAAATAAGATCACAACTTTGTTCCAAGCTTTTCACATCAATATTTTTCAAAATTTCTTTTGAATTTGAAATGTTAACATACTTACCATTTCAACATAAAAGTAGTTTCTCAATTTAATTTTAATATAATGAACAGACGAAAATACCCTTTCAGCTGCCCCAATACATTGCGCTGAAATAATGAAGCTTTTAATAAATTTTTCAAGTTTTCAACAAATTTTTCATATACTCGATAGACTTCAATTAAAATCTCAAAATTGCGATATTATCATCTATTAAAAAAATTCTATACAAACATATTTCATCTGCTGACGTTGAAAAATTTTCCTAAGTTTGGTTATTTGACACTTTAACTGACTAATTGATTAACTTGACTACAAAAAGAGATATGGCGGCTTTTAAATTAGCAGAAAAAGGTATATATACAAAATTTTTTGTATATATACATAAAAAAAATTTTTTTTTTATTCAGAAATAATATTTTTCAACTAAAAATTTTTTTTGAAAATACGGGTAAATTATCAATATTGTTGTTAGGCCTGACTGAGGAAAAAACAAAATCGAAGCCATAATGCAAAAGGAGGAGCCAGGGACACAAATTTTCAAATCGTAGTCAAATGGCTCCGATCGGAGCCAAACGACAGCCTTGCCAAATAAGTGAAGTGTACAAGAGATTTTAGAATTTCTCTGTAGTGAAAATTGGAGCTATACTACCACAATTATAATGTTTCTATTAATGTGTTGTGCTTGTGTAAATAAACTCTCATAATGTTTGTTGGTAGTATCCACTCCAAAGCCATCTTTATATAGGAGCTTATGGTTACGCCCAAAATATGCATGAGTGTGACTTTTGTATATATGGTAAATAATAAATTCTTCATAGCTCCTATAATATAATAAAGATGCATGTGAAATTCTTCCTGTATTTTTGATTTGTGTACGAGAGCAAATAATGCATTGGTATGATATAAATAAAGTATAAGCCTAAAGAAGTCTCTCTTAATGATTAATCATAATAATTTACCTAAATACATAAGTAAGGTCGATCATTTTATGCATGCGTGTATGCATATGATTTTATTTTTTATAAATTTTGGTACAATTATTTGTTTTTAGTTAGTATTATATTTTTGCTATGGCAGAGAACTATATCAATTAACAAAGTAAAAAATTTGATTGATAAAACAAGTGGTTACATACCTACATACATGCAAAAATACATCGTAATTTTTTTCTTTATCGTAAAAACAATATACTGCGAGTAGAATTCAAAACAAATTAAATATGATGATGCTTTATAATTCTTTATGGAATACGGTAGCAAATATTTGTGGAGTTCATAATTGTGAAATTTCTGTAAAGAAAGAAATAGATGAAAAAACTGAAAAACGAAAAAAAGAAAAGTGGAGTATAATTGAAGAAAGGAAGAAAGAATTTGAAGAACTAAAAGACAAAAATGAACAAGAGAACAGAGAACAACAAAAGAAATATTTTGAAAAAAAAGAACAATTTAATAGAGAAATTTTAGACAGACGTGAAAATAAAGAAAAGAAACAAAAAAATTTAGATCAGGCTTATCTTACAAAAAAAAAGGAGTTGAGGTCCGCAATCGAATCAAAAAAAAAAGAATTAACCGAAAGAAAAAAATTCAAGGAGATAGAAATTCAAAATCAACGACAAATTCTAATTGAAAGAAAAGCACAAATTGAAAATGAATCCAAAAAAGAACTAAACCAAATAAAAAAAGACTACGAGATCAAGAATAAAATTTTAACAGAAGAACAAAGCAAACAAAAAGCATTTTATAAAACAGAAAGAGAAAATCTAAACAAAAAACAAAAAGAAATGGAAAACGAGATCTTAGAAAAGGAAATAGAGATAAGGAAAAGAAACGAAATAGAACGAAATAGAATATTTAAAGAAATAAGTAATAAAAAACAGGAATTAGAAATTGAACAACAAAATTTAAATGCAGAACGAAAATTAATAGAAAGCAAATTTGAATTTGAAAAGAACGATTTAGTTAAGAAAAAGGAATTTCAAATAGCAATGGAAAGAGAACATGAGAATTTTGTTGTCAAAAAAGAAGTGTTGCAAAATAGCTCTGGTGGTGGGAATCATATGCCAAATGTCACCTATAATATAAAATATTTCTTAAATATATTAGGTAATATGTTTTTTTTAATGTTTTCTCTTAATGCTATAATCTTAATTCTAAAGTTTTGCAATAATCGAATCCTTCATACAATTGGCACAAATTAATTTTTTTTTTGTAAACAGATTCATTCGCAATTTATAACTTATAATAAGTTAATCATAATATATGTATCCTTAATTTTCATATACTATATACAAGCAGCTTGAAGTCAAGTTCAAACGGATTTTGAGCCTATATAAATGCTACTTGACTTGAAATTTTCAAGTCAATTTAATTCGATCAAATTGCTAGCTTTACTCGAGAATCGACTCCATTTATGCAAGTTGAAAGATTGAAAATGGCAAATTAATATATCTATAACGCTTGTCAGGTAATGTTAAACACAAAACGATTTCAACTACATATTGGGGCTGTCTGGGATAAACCTTGAAAAAACTTTAAACCAGCGAATTAGAATTACTTAGGGAAGGAGCCGCTTGAAAAAAGAATGAAGCAAATTTTTTCTAGTTGTCTCTTTCTTTGTTCCGAGCATTGTTAAAGTCGTTATATTATTTTATTTTGTGGCCTCTACTATAAATATGTATTCTTCCTTATTCATTAATTGTGCTTCACATACTAATTCATTCTAAAACAATTATTTTTTTAAATAATTCACGCTAATATTTTATTAACGGCAACGGAACGTCTACATAAATTTTTTTCATGAAGAAATCTTCACTCTATAAAGAGAATTATATTTCATTTCATCACTTCTAGGAAAACTGTGATTATACAAGAAAAAAGGAGGTCAGTCCTGGTAAAATTATGTCATCCGAAGTAATTTTATTTTTAAACAAAACAAAAACAAATGTTTTTGCAAAATTTGAGACTTAATAAAATTACAAATTATGACTAAATCAAATTAAATAAATATTTCTTTTAATTATTGGAATGAATAATATTCACATGTATATGGTGTAAAAAACTATTTGTTTTTACAAATGGGAATAACAATTTAAAACTATACACCTTTTTAATTTTCAACAGATTTTTTTTTCTTTTTTTAACTTGTTATATTTCTTTTATATGTTTTTATAAAATAATATTTTTTTTAACGCTTATTTTAAATATTTTATGATTTTTATTTACAAGCTGCACTAATTTTATAAATAAAATAACAAAATCTTCTTTGTTTACTTTTTATAAAACCGCGACGTACTTTTCTAACAACAGCATTTGACATTGAAAAAAACAACATTTGGCATTCAATGTTAATTTCAGTTTGACAATGCTTAGAGCAAAGAAAGAAACTTAACTAAAGTTTTTGGTTTCACTATGTTTTTTTTTCAAGATACCGATTTTTTAGGGATTGTAAGCGAGATAGAAAAAAAGATTCCTTTAGTATTTTTAATTCGTTGCTTTAAACATTGAGAAAATGAGAATGTCATAATTTTCTCTCATTTTTGTTCAAAAAGTCTTTGAAAACTTTCTTATACCAGACAGACCAATTATTATTTTAACCATTACGGTATATACGAAGATAAAAATTACAAATCAAGTACTCGATTCACCAAAATAAGGAGAAAATTGACAGCAACTCTCCCATTCCAAACCATGAGATCATATTCTGTTAATAATATGATCTCATGGTTTGGATCTATATAAAAGAAAATACAAACGGTGATCAAAAAATTTCTGAAGAAAGTAGAAAAATTGGAATAAATTGCTTAAGTTATTTTAATATTTAATATGCATACCTATAAATATGAATGACTAACCAAGTAATTTATTAAAAAAATTTATTTACATGTTTATTTTATTAAAAAGGTAATGACGTTTCCTCTCAATCAAGTGATACAGAAGGTAATTAAAGTTATTTTTCATTTAATTATAATAAAACTATAGAATATATATTTTTTTTTATATTTTAGAAGAAACTCGTTTACGGACAAAAGTATTGAATTTACCAAAAAATGAAATAGAAGAATTAACTGGTACAATATATGAGATTTTGGATATATGTGGAATAACTGACAAAGATGATCCTTTTGCAAAAACCCTTATTATAAAAATAACAAAAAAATTTTTTGAAAAATTGGAAAATATTTAAAATAAATAACAAAAGTAAGTGTAAGCATAGAAATAATTAAATAGGAGATTTTCGATAATAAATCAAATCAATAAATTTCGGCCCATAATAGAAAAATGTCGGATATTGAAGAATTGCTTTTTTTCTGAATTTTTGGAGCTTTTTTATAATTAATATGTTTAAAATAAATTACAAATCTCTAAAAGCAAAATGTTCAGTTTTTACGGTTTTGTAAGTATGTGTATAAAAACTTTAAGGTTTAATTAAGAACTTTCATGACTGAAATATCGAAAATGACTATTATGTTATATTTTTAAATTAAAATTGTTAATATTAAAACTTCTACTGTAAAAAAATTTTAACTGGCACAATTTCAATGGGATTTCATGCTTATAAACCTTCCTTGGTCGATTTCTATTTAACCGTGCTTTATTATATTTTATTATAATGTTATTATACAATACAATATCTTGTAATTTTTGAAAAATATAAAATAAAAAAAAAAACAGACTTTTTTTTTAACCTGCTATTTCATATTATCGAACATTTAAGTTTTATATAATTATTACTATTTTTACTAAAGGTAGTTAAGTATCCGTAATTTCAAAGTTGCAGGTATAAAACACAATTCACGAATTAAAATTTAAAAGCTGAACTAAGTATAATTACAACAACTGACAGAAATACAGGCTTGAACTCTTAGAGAGAGTGACAGTCGAAAGGGGACAAAGTTGCACGTATTCTTATGGACGCTATAGGAGACCTTTTTTAACATTATAAGTCTCCTCACAAGATCAACTTTTTTTAAATATTTAGTTAGAAAAAGTTAAAATTCAATCTTTTTCTATTTAAAAAAAAAACCTTCAAGAAATCCTAGATGATGGATGCCACTTATATTATACGAAAATATAGACAACAATTTTTGTAAAGTATCTAGTCGACTTTTTTGTGTTTTTTCAATTTTTGAAGTACATTTGATAGACTTGTATTTATGCAAAAAAGCTTACAAGTTTATTTATGTTAATGTTCTCAATTTTATGAATACTCGCATATACATATGTTCATATATATATGTATATGTATATGCTTTCAAGAAAAAGAAGGAACCAGTCATCCGTCTGTTCTTGATTACGTCATCCATCTGTTCTGCAGTTGCATGAAGAAATTTCCATTAAGTTAAATTATTAAGTGTAATAAGCACATTCTTATTAATTTCGCAACTATGATGTTGTATTAGTAAAATTCATAACCAGTCCTTGACTTTTTTGTTATGTCAAGTGAACATTAATGCCGCATTGTTGCAATTTTGAAGACGGAATGTACAGGGTTTCTCATATCTTAGTGCACCGATCTGCACCAATGAATAAGTAAAAGTTTTGTATAGAGAAAATGTTTACAGCATAACAGGCTTCGCTTTACAGGCGAAAATATACAATCTCAACTATTTTTTTACTTTTTAAAATTCCAAAACCATATTCCAGTTTCTAATAAGCGCTTAATTTCGTATATTAGCCATCTTCCTATTTTACAAAACAATAACGAAAGATGAGACTTATATATATTTCAATATTAAATGCAGACCAATAGCCAGCTTACTAGTATAAAAATATATTTTCTTTTATTCAAAAGTACATAAACTACATTTTATTCTTTTTTGTCGCACTTTTAACAAATGGGCTTCCCAACTGTACATTTTGCGCATACGTACTTTTTACATTTTATACAGATTTTATTCGTCTTATTATCTTTGCAATATATCTTATGTGACATGTTTTCCGTTGACGGGAACCTGTACTTGAAGTTGCGATGGGTATTGGTTGATTTTCTTTGCCTATTTCTATTTCTTTTGTAACGAATTTATAGTTTTGGCATTGAGTCTTGGAGAAAAACTAATACAAAACAATTAAAATAAAGATGTCTGTGGTATTACGGAGTCTTGAGAATAAAGATGCCTATGAAGGAAATACATATGTACATATTATATCATAGACTCCTATAAAGATATCTGTGATTATATACATATACTGCACAATAAAGTACATATGTATGTATAAATAAATAAATAAAAAAAGTACATAAATTTATGTAAATTTCAAATGTTGTTTTAAAATTTAGTATGTGACACGTTTTCAAACAGTAACGAACGGGAGTAAATGTTAAAGATAATATAAATATTATTTAGGCACTTATGTTACATACATAAGTACATACGTATCTAATTATTTTTAAATTAAGTTTTATTATTTGAAATTGAAATTTTTCAATAAAAATATATACTTATGTACAATTAAGTATAAACTTATGTAAGTTTATACCACTATATCTTTGACATAAAAGTAAGAAAAATTAATCTAAGTATGTAAGTATGCATACATAAGTACAATGTGAAAGTGTGTAATTTTTCGACTAACTTCAATATTATTTATATTTTTATTATGATTTAATAAATTTGTATGAATATGTACATATATTAATTTTGTGCATATGTATATAATGTAATATACATGTGTGCACTTAAATACATATGCATTTTATTTATTACAAATTATATATGTATGCAGGTATGTACGAATATGTTGCATTTAATGAAAATATATACATATTTATTAAGCACGTAATAAATCATTAATACCGTAGTCACCTTCAGCCCCACTTAACAAAATTGCCGTCCTGGACAATATGAGAGGATTATAATATATTGTGAAGGCCTAGTTCACAAAAGCATCTGTATAAGCAAATATAATTTTGTTAAATTTTTTATTAGAAAATTTTAAATTTATCATTTTGCAATTTTTATACCTCTTCATTTATAATAAATATGAAAAAATATTATAACATTTGTAACGATATTAAAAAAAACTAATTAATAAGTACATAAAGTCGCTATGATCATACATAAGTACGTATGTATGTATTATAAAAAAAATTTTTGCTACAAGATAAAATAAATAAATTTATATACATACATATATACACGCATACATACATAAAACATAACTACGGAGAAATGTACATATGTATGTACGTGCATATGTACATATTTTGCAAAGTGCTAAAAACTAGTGTCTAGGCCTGTACTTTTGTAATGCCGAGTATTGAAGCATAAAAAATAAAAATATTTTCAAAATTTTACAGACGATCTTAATAGCCAAAAAAGAAAAATATTGTAATTGCTGCTGCAAATCACAAACATCATCATATTGTAAGAGTGTTTGTATAGCTACATATTCGTATACATACATATATTATGTATGTATGTGTGTGCTCAAGTTTTAGATCAATAGATGAAAGTTCTCAAATAAAGTGTTAATAAAAATTGTTCTTGCTCCTATAACAATTTAATATAAGCTATGGGATCAAACATATCTTTGGCAGAGTTCGAAAAAGAAAAGAAAAATCTTGAAAAATGGCAATCAGACATTAAAAATGAATTAGAAACATTTAAAAATGAATTTCAAAATAATACACAAACAGAATTGCAAAATGTAAAAGACGATTTGATGGAAACAAAACAAATATTGACTAAACTTAAAGAAGATACAAAAAAAGTGGAAGAGCAACGTAAAATTGAACAAAATGAAATAGAAAAAAATAATAACATATTAAAAGATGAAATTAAGAATTTGAACTCAGAGGTTGATCAAATGGTTAAACTTTTTTTTCATAAACTAAAAGAAATGGAAATCAAGCAAAAAAACGAAATTGAAAAATTAATTAAGGAATCAGAAAAAATGGGCAAAAAAATACAAAATGAAGTGAAAGACCTAATTAAAAAATTAAATGAAAATAAAAAAGAAATATTATTATTAAGGGATAAAAATCAAAAATTGGAAAATTTTAATAAAAGAGAGCAAGATCAAATGAAGGAGAATTTTGAAAAACAAAATGAGTTCATGAAAAAATGTTTTAAAGATATGAGTAAAACCTTAAATGAAAACAAAGAAAATATAAAAGAGCAGATAAAAGAATTTGAAGACAATTTAAAAGAAAAACAACATTTATTTGAAGAACGAAATGAAAAAGTATATCATAATTTAAAAGAACGTCAAGAATTAATTGAAAAATACTTAAGGTCTCCTGTAGAAAAATTGGGTAATTATCCTTTCTTATAATATATTTTTGTATAATTAATCATATATATCTGTACGTAAATAATTATTGTTTCATTATTTAAAATTCTGCTTAAAAGAAGTTATATAATTTCTCAACTTTACAAAAATCAGGTATAACAGTAGATAATTTTGAACAGAATTAAGCAAGTAAATAAGAGAACGGTTAAATAAAATCATTAGAGACAATTTTCGAAATTTTTTACATAGCAGGCTGACAGAAATACTGTAATGTCAAGGTATATACATATACATAAAGATAAAAAACGAAATTCTGAACAACTAGGCCTTATCATAATGGACTAAGCAAATCGAATAAACTTTGGAAATTTAGCAACATTTCAATCAAGATCGGCGAATAATCCAAATTCCAAATCCAAAATTTTGCTACTTCATGACATTAAAAATTACATCATCATAACTTTAAAATAGTTTGTTCTTTGTTTAATTAAAATATTTTGTTTTCATTAGACAGGTATTCGCGTAAAATTCAGGCGAATTCGCTAGGAAAAAATCGTTGCTATCGAAATTTCAAGTTATTAAAGTTTGAATTTATTAAAGTAAACAAAATGATGTATAAAGAATCAATCAAATCCATTGGAATTACCAGAAAGTCCAGTGGAGACTCCAAAGCGCTTAACTCCAATAAAATTCGTCCATTTTCTTCAATATCTTTTTATTGGGTTCGAATTTAATTTCTCTATTAGTTACATACATCCGCATTGCTTTACATTAGTTCTACTTATTTCGCGAACTGCTCCCGTTTTGTTTTGTTTTTAAACTAAAAATTGATGAGTTAGCATATTATGTATATATTAACCCTACTTTTGTTTTGCCATAAGAAAATATATTTTTATTACGTGCAATAGTTACTACATAATGTAGATATTATTTATTAAAAAAAAAATTCTTTTTTTAAATTACATTTACCTTATTATAGATATTTGAAAAATAAAATTTATTTTACTACAACGTTTTACCTTTTTCACAATAACCTCCATCATAAAGTCTTAAAATTATATAAACTACCAACTGAAAATCACAAGAAAGTTTTCAAAAAAAAAAATTGTGATTTTGTGTGAAAAATTTTTATTCGCCTAGTTTTGACCTTTTTCTTGAAATTTTCTTATTCGCTTCATGAACCAGGCGAATTCGAGAACAATGGCATTCGTTTTGTGAACCATAATTCATATTCGCTTTTAATTTATTATACAAATACAATATGAAAATTCAAAATTATTTGAATTTTCAAAATTATATTTGTGAATTCAAAATTAATATTCAAAATTATTAATTTTCTATTATTCGAAGGTATAATTTTGTATTAGAAGGTAAAAGATTTTCATTTATGTCTTCCTGCTGCTCTTTTCTCTTAACTTATTCCGTTAATTTTATTTCCGAATAAATATTTTTTACTCTATAAAATAATATAATCATATCATTTTTATCTTTTTAGATGTAAATGTCGATGCATCTGAGGGTTCCGAAATATGTAGTAAGTACTTTAAACTAGGACAAGTACTTTTATTTTAACATGTATAATATATGTAAATATATAATACTCGTAAATGCATATGTATGTGTATTTCTACATTGATATCGTAAATGTCTCTAAAAAAACTTGACCCGACACAATGTCTGAAAAACTTTTAATATTCATCCCGTGTACACTAATTATATACTAAATATAAAATATTGCATTTTAAAAAAGGACGTTACGAGTTTGATATTGCCATATATGTAAATATTAACAAAAAAAGAAATTGTTATTAGAAGCTCATTATTAAGTTTAAACCGAAATGCAAAATTAAATTTAGAATGTCCAACTTTATTATTACCAAATTTCAACGCGATCGGGTGTACATGTACATATATATGAGATCAGCAGCAATGTTGACTTGCATTTACGGGTAAATATTACACAGGATAAATTAGTTTCGAACACCTTTGTAAAATATATTTCGATTTTCAGGCAAAGTTAGTATATTTTAGTTCTTTGGTACAATACTGTGTTAGCAATGATTTACGTTTGTGGTGGGTTCATTCGTTCGAAGCTTTTAAGTGGAAAACAGACTTTTACAACATCTTCAAAAATCTTCGGGTAAAACTGGTAATTTAGTTTTTCATTTTTTCAGTGCTAACCACGGTTGACAGAAATATTTTTAAGATATTTTTGTTATGTTAAAGTACTTAATCTACTGTTGTGAGTATTGAGCATATAATCACCTCCATTTACGATGTCAAGAATACATAATAAATTTTTAAATAATATGTACAAAAACGCAGCTACATACATATTTTTTTTGTTTTAGATTCTAGTAGACCTACTGCTCTTAGCCAAATTTTTTTATCTAACGTGCTCAAAAATTTGAAGGAAAAAAGTGAAAAATCAGTTCAAAAATAATTTACAAGAAAAATTACTAAAAGAATTATAAATTATGTGTAACATTTACTAATAATTAATAATGAATCTGAATTAAATCTTATTAAAGTACCTTGGTAAATCTTGTTTCATTTGACATTATAATGTTTTATACTACAAAAGCACTAATATAAGTAATTAGTGCTTTTCTGTTTTTGTTATTCTAAATTTAAAATCCTTTTTTACGAGTATACCTTGACTTCAAATGTAGAAAACTGTTTAACTTTGTTAGATTTGCAAATTTTTAAAAAAGTCATTTATGTATATAAATTGCCAACTAAGAAATGTAAAAAAAAGTTAATGCTATTTTGTGAATATCTATATGTATTTCCTTTATCTATGATTAAAGTACAAATTTGCACAAAATGTAAAGATTATTACATGTTCTTCACAAACAATTTATGAAAATATTTTTTTTTCCAACTGAAAATTATCATTATGATTCTATAATAATAGTTACGGAAATTTCAGCTTTTCTTCTTAATACAATTAAATATATTTATATAAAAATTAGATAGGGATTATTAATTATGTATACTCGTACATATGTAAAAAAAAAAAAAGGTTGTATTAAATCTTTTGATTTTTAAAATTTTGTAATTAGTTAATAATAATTTTAATATAATATAATTCTTTAATTATTTGAATCTTATATTTTTAACTAATGGCAAAAATTAAGTGCGTATTCTATTTAATTATAAATTTTGGTAAATTCTAGTTAAATATAGTAGTACAATATTAAATTATTACATAATTAATTATACATATAAAACAATCAAACAATTTTTATGAAAATGGAATATTTTTAAATACAAAATTGAAATTTATTTCTTTTAAAATTCTTTTGTGTCTTTCAAATAAATATTTAAATATAGATATAATATGCGTAATTACTTAATTGGGTGATTTATAGTTAGTAATCTTATACAATATGTATATAATAATTTTTATTTTATAGTAAATTTATTAATTCATATTATTAATGTACTTTATAGTTCTACAAAAACTGAAATATTTCGTATAAAAACTTCGTTTCAAAGAGAAAATGTAACTATACAAAATTTTAAACATTTTTAATTTACATAATTCGTTGAATATTATAATTTTATAAAATACTTTTATATATTATTTTCACATTAATTAATTAATTATAAAAACCCTTTATGTATGTGTTTTTTAAAAACCTAATTTTTATACATTGGATCAAGTTGAAATTGCACACATTAAACTTTTATACATTATTATATGTTTTTTTTTTTGTAAATTACTAAATATATGTATGTTTATCCAAATTAACGTACATAGTAAAAATTACATGGAAAGAATTAAGTTATGCAAGTTTTATAAAAGAAACTGAATGCTTAATAAAAATGAAATGATAAAGGGGCAGTTCACTTTTTACATCGCTCTATATAGATCACTATAATCTTTTTAAATGATTTTTTTTTTTATTTTGATAAATAAATATATAAAATTAAATAAATACTTGAAAACCAAAACTTGCAAATTTCAGCATATTAATATTTTTCTGGAAGCTGGAAAAATCTGAATTAAAATAGGGATAGATAATGCTCAATTATTTATTGTTAAATAAATAAATTATTTTTTCTATAACATCTCTGAACATATTACAATCATCTAAAATTGAATTTTTATTTTTCCAATACATTATGTTGCTGATATTTATAATACAAATATTTTATTTTTTTCATAGTTCAATATTATAATAATAAAATATATAAAAATTTATTCACATTTTGGTAAAACTAAAGAACATTGTATCCAGAATGAAGACTTACATAAATAATTATTTAAAAATTGAATTAAATTTGAAAAAAAAAAAAAATTTAAAATGAAGAAAACTGATTTTCTTTTCTAAAAAATTATTTTTTACACCTTGATGAAATGGGTATGTTGAGCGCGATTACATATTACCAAAAATAGTGTCTTTTTCGAATCAAAGGAAATGTTTTGAGAAATTACAGAATCATTTTGTAAAATTCTTTTTAAATATTAAAAATACTTTTTTGAAATGTAAGAAAAACATATACATTTTAATTTTAAATCATAATTTGTTTAAGAAATTTGTACAAGATTTATAGCATGTATTACAAGTGTAGTAAATGTATTCAAAACTATTAGTTTAATAATTATATTTATTTATTTATTTATAATCAATTTCTTTTTACCAATTCCTGCTTGGTATATACAATTAATGAAGTTTAATATAAAGTTTTGATTTAATGAAATGAAGACAAATATTTAAAGCAATTATTGTAATTATGTAGTTAGCAAACAATCTTATGTTTTATATTTTTTATTGATTTTTTAATAATGCCGTCTGTTGATTAGTATTTTTTTTTTTTTGCCGTACAAAAATATCATTCCGTTTGTTTAATATTAAGTTACGAATAAATTTTATATTATTTCTAATAATTACTTAAATTCAATGCTTTTTTGTTTTAAAATATTTATTCATTCTATTTTTCATAATTTTTTCGTCATTTTGCCACATCCGCTAATAATACAAGGCTGCAACAAGTAAATTAAAAAATATAATGCATGCATAAATATTTGATTGACTTAGCGTGATTCAACAAAAAAAAAAAAACAGATTTTTTTTTAATTTATATACTACATACGCTTTTTTATACTTAATATCCTTTATATCTTACTTATTATTAAATTCTTACAAAAATTATCGCCAATAAGCACTTTATAATATTAATTTACGGTTTTAATTGCTGTTAAGATTATTGACATCATTGTTTTGTACACTATCCATATTAGGAATATAATCCATCGCCATTAGACAAGCAAACACGGTCATTACCATTTTAGGTTTAACTTCAGTGATATCCTCGGGTAAAGCATAAACACGTGCACCAATTTTTCTCGCCATTGAAATAGCATATTTTGCATTAGCCAAATTGTCCTAAATTATATATTTAATAAAGAATATTTAATTGAGTATAATTGATAATTAAAAAATTTTGTTTTTTACAGAATGGTTAATTAAAAAAAAAGACATGAAGAATGAATACAATTACAATTTTTGCCACATTCCGAAACGATATTTGAAAATCATTTAGTATATAAAATAAAAATTAATACTTACTTCTTCAGTACCGCCTTGTCGAACTAATTCGTAATTAATGCTACCTTGTTTTATTGCATCGATTAAATCAATAACAACTTTAGCATCAGCAATTGCGGGATCTTGAAAACTTTTTAAACTTGTCGTTTTACCAGCTGATGCTAATTTGTTATTAACCCATTGAACAATTTCCTTTTCGATAATTGGATTTCCAGTATTGCATAATCTTGTTAAAATTGATAACGTATATGCTCTCATTAATTGCCAAATCAAAGCTAAAATATTAAAAACAAAATCAAATAACCGATTAAAGTTTTAAGAGTTTCGAATTGGAAAAGCTATTTGAAGAGAAATGCTTACCAAGTGTCAACGTGGCATTTCCTTCACTCAAATCCTGTCCGGCTATTCCAACTAATGAAAACCTCAATTGTTTACCCAATTCAACAGCATAATTACAATTTTCCAATTTCTCCATGAATTTTCTTAAAGGTGTAAATCTCTTGTGCACTCTATTCCAATTAACGATGCCAGGTTTAATTATATCGAAAAGCTGGAATATTACAAGACCATCTGCTAAATCTGAATATAACCAATTGACATGTGGTGCAACACCCATAGAGTTCATCCAATTTCGATACGCTATTAATTATACAAAACGCAATAAAATAAGTGAAACTAAATAATTTTGGATGATAAATAAATCTTATAAACTAAATAAAATACATTTTAAATTATTTTTTTTTATACTCAATAATCTAAATACTAACATAGATAAACAAAATTTAAAAAAAAATCAAAAGCAAAATTATTTGGATATAAAAACGTAGTATGCACACCCAAGAGTATTATTACATTTCTATCCTCTCTCAAAGTAAATAAAAATCACATTTACAGACATAAATTTAGAACTCACTCTTTTCTTCTCTGGTTTCTTCAATTGTTTCAAAACCATCAATTTGTTCAGGTTTATCAAGGCCTGGATGATTGTTAAATAAATTGGCAACAAAAGCTAAATTTAATTTATAAACCCCGTTTACCACATCTTGCGGTGTTAAGAAACTTCTACAATTTAATTTTGCTGCCTGTTGCAACATAATTTCCGCACGAGCTGCTAAATCTGATTCCTAAAATAAAAACTTTACATGTCTGGTGTAAAATAAAAAATTAAATAAAAAACTTACTCTCATCGCTTCCATTGTTACACCAGCTTCATTTGGAGCAATTTGTTTTAATAAATGTGAATAAATTTCCGAATCAACAATATCGTTTTGAAAGTTTGTACATCGCTTTGATATGCCAGCTCTTTCCAAATGATGGTTAACCCATCTCAACAAAATCGCTTCCGGAGATAATTTCATTAAATCTTCTAATCTTTCACCATCAAATAATAAACCAGCTAATCCTGGACAACTATCCAATGTAATATGACTAAATAAACCGATCCGAATTATTTGCCATAACAAACCCAGTACTAAATGTGGTTTCCCTTTAGCCAAATCATGGGCATCTATATTAACAATATTACAACCAATTGCTTGCGATGATACTAGAGCTAAGGTTAAATTTTCAAATTCAGTATAAACAGTTAAATTTTTCTTATTTATAGCACGTTCATCAATTGTATCCGGGCATGAATGATTGATTATTTTACATAATAATATACCATCTTTAATTTTTTGATATAAAAATTTACCCTCTGCATCAATTGGCAATAAATGTTTTAAATCAGGATCGGCACCTAAATTTGAATTAATCCAATCGGAAAATGCTAGTTGTTCTTCTAAACGTACGGAATGTGTTGTACCCTCAGATGATATACTGGACATACCACCCAATGTTTCTAAATTTTCTTTTTTCGATACGACTGTTTTAAATGTACTAGCGACATCTTTTGATTTTAAATCTAAACATAAATTTTCAAATTCCTCATATGATAATTTGCCTTGGTTTGTTGTTCGTGATTTATTTGTAAATTCTTCAATCATTTCACGTACTTGATAGCCAGGTAATTTGAAACCTACTTCATCCAAGGCTTCTTTGAGCTCTTTCAGTTCTATATATCCATCATTATTTTTATCAATCTGGAAAAATAAAAATGAAAAATAAATAAAGATTTTGATATAAATAAAGATTTTTGATATTTTCCATTGTCGAAATTTGAAAAGTTTTTTTTTATTTACAATAAAATGAAAGAAAATTTAATTTTTTTCATTAAAAAGTTTACAATAAAGAATTTTTTCTATATTTTATAAAAAATAAGTACTATAACCGAACAAATTGTTAGCTGCTAAATGTGTTATAAGGAGAGTTTGTTATGTAGAGATTTTACATGCTGAATTATATTGGTTCTAATAAATATTATGGCAAAATATACCTTTGGAAATTAACAGGGAAGTTTGCCTCTGTAATTCATTTTAAATTTGTGCTTTGTACCAATTAGTAGATGCCTGTAATTCATTTGGTACTATAAGAGCAGGTATGGTAAGAATCGATAAAAACAAGAATTTATGTTAATTTGGTTATCGTTATAATTTATAAGGATAAACAATATATCGCACATTTGCGAGAACAATGACATAACTTAAAATGCAGAGTCGCAAACTTTATTTTATTACTATTATTACAGAAAATTTGTTCATATATGCTTGTAGAATAGAATTTATAATTACCACGTAATAATTATTTTCGAAAAGGTTTTAAACTTTGAGAGTCTGTATTCGGTTTCGGTTTTTAAGATTCAATTACTTACGTTTTTTAGCTCAATTACTTACGTACTTATCAAATTTTTTTTACATAAAACATAACTATTTTAACTCTAAACTGATTTATTTATTGTTAAAAAAATACAAATTAACTATAAATACGAAAAAAAATACAAAATTATCAATAATAAAAATTTTTGATAAGCTACTTTTAATTACATGCTTACATAATTCAATTAGATAAGATAATTATAAATGTACACGTATAAATATCAAAGAGTATCTAATCACATAATATAGATTTGAATAATTACCGTCTATTTATTGAAGTATCTTATCTATTTATTTCTTATTTAAAAATAAGACGACAGTAAGTTGTAAAATTAAATATTATAGAAATTATACATTTTATATGTATAACATATAAGTACATATTATGTATTTATAATTCTTACGCTATTACTATATCACATAAATAGCCATTTAGTTTAAATTTGGTTTAAACAATTTTAAGAATATGTATCTGAAATATCTGTATGATGTGCCTAATTTTTTAATTTCTAATCTTAATAAAATCTAATTTTTACATCTCCAACATAAAATACACAATAACTTTAACATTTCAAAAAATTAGACCCAGCAATATTGACAAAATTTGAAAATTTTGAACTTTTACCTTTGTTTCTGCTTTGGTTTCGATCGGTTTTAAATAAATTTTTAGTTAAAATTATTACTTTTTAAAAAATCTACATGTTCCTTATTTCGGTCCTATTAGTAAACCTAGTCCGGTACGTAAACAAGCTATATAAATTTATGTAGAATTATTATAGACACGAATCATTTGGTTTAGGTATATAATTAAATATCCTTTATCGGTTCATGTTTATAAAAATAATTTGTTTTGATTGTTTTTGGTACATTTCGGAAAATGAGTGTCCCTAATTCGATCCGAAATTTTTTGAATTATTTTAAATAAATTAATAAAAAATAATGGCAAAAAATATATAAAATTAGTAAACAAACCTAAATCAGGGCTCTGAAACGTAAACTATGACTTAAATGCATTTATTAAGTGCAAAATAATGAAAAAAAAAAATTTTTGAAAAAATATGTGGGTAAAAACTAAAATTTAAATTAAAAACATTGAGGTTCTGGACTCGAAAATCAACTAAATTATAAAAAATATATTTTAAAATATATTTTAGTTTGATTTTAGTACATTTACTTTATAGGAAGTTATTTAAAAAAAAAACGCAATAAGATCGAATTATAGCCGTTTATCTTACCATTTTTATTTCATAGTGATATTTAGTCGTTAATATAAATAAAATAAATATTAAAAATTAAGAATAAATTATGATAAAAGTAAGCGTTCCTTAATTAATTTTTAATATAAAACCATTATTTTTTTTGCAAAATTTTATGTAAATAAAGTTTTTTTTTAATATCATAACATTTTTGTATCAATTTTATTAAATCATAAGGTACTTTGTATTAAATATTTGCAATTCAATTGGTATTTAATTACAATTCTTTTGATATATAGTTAAATAAGAGTTTTTGTCATCTAATGAATAAATCCGCTCTCAGTACATAAAATCAAATGCGTCAGCTAAAAAGAATTCGAAAACACGGTAATAAATTCCACGGAAGCGTTGTCAACTTTTTAATTTACATATAATAACTTAATACTTAACGATTGAAAAGCCAATTAAATATAAGAAACAAAAAATACAAAATAGTTCAAAAAAATATATGTAACACTTTTATATTAATAATTACAAATTGAATAAATTTTAATTTGAATTTTAGCGAAAATTATATATTGTACCAAAAATAATTATTAATTTCAGTACATACATATACAATTTTCAAAAAAAAAAATTAACACTTTAAATCAAATGACAACTGCAACAAATGTTATCACATAAGTTTACATCTCGAATTTTTCGTGACTATAATACCACAACTGTCAATTTAACATGTCTTTTCGCTGATTTCAAAATTTAAAATTCATCAATAAATTATTTTAAATTATGCATTAAACTGTTAAAATATGGCTGCATTTTTTTATTACATACATATATATATATATATTTACATACTTTTGGAATTTTTTCATGTACTAGATCTCGATACTCGTTAACCGTTTGATATCTTTCAATACCGATAATATCCATTTTTTTTTGTTTTACTAAAAAAAAGAAAATATTCACAAAATCCGTTAAAAGTAGAAAGAAGACCTTATTAACTTTATAATTAAACCGGTAGAACTAAAATTAAATGAAATAATTTTTGCAATAAAAGTATAAAAAATGATTAATTTTATATGTTTTACTTATTGAGTATTTATAGATCTTATTGATAAATCATAGATAACAAGTAATACTTATAAAAGCTAATAAGGTTAAAACAAAAAAAAAAATATCTAAATTTTACATGTGAACACAAGTATACAATATTTTATACATTTATACAATCATATGACAGATGATTAATCGAATTACTAGCAATAGTACTTATAATCATATGATTAATTTTGTATAAAAAACAAATTTTTTTGGCATAAAAATCTATGTGGTTATTTCGACATCCAAAAATTTTTAAATAGTTACTTAAAAAAAAATTAAATTGAATTATACAGCAGAACATGGTTAAGTTACAAATACTTAAGTGCACAAAACCTTTCGAGTATACTTTTTTTCCGATTATTTCATGTCGGGTATTTTCAACCTTTCGAGTACTTTTTTCCAAAAAAATTTTAAGTCCAATTTGCGGAAAAAATTTCTATATCAATTTATTCGAATAAATGGATATTTTAGTTTTTATTTTGCTCATAAACGGCACTACTCAAAAACAATATTGAAATAGAAGATTAAAAAATTCATTAAGTTTAAGAAGATTTAAATCATTCATTAAGAAGATTAAAAATTCATGTATTGTCTAGTTTAGCGATAATGTTGCAAAAGTTTATGAGAATGTCTTTTAACACTTCCTTCAAATTTTATGAACTTTAGCAAGCTTTTAGTTAAAATATTAAAAAAATAAAATCAAAAAGTAGTTCAATCGAACCTGAGATGATACGCACGTGTACCATTAGATCGACATCTTGTTAAAAATAATTTATTTACACTACGGAGAAAGTATACGGATACAGACAAAATAGCACTGTCAAAACAAGTCAAATTTTTTTATAGTGAGCTTATTTGTAAATTATGGAAGTTCCAAATTGAAGAACACAAGCTCAAGAAAGATCAGTATGGAGGGAAGGTGTGACGAAGCTCTAGGCTGTAGCGCCAGATGATGATGATGAGTTTATTTGTATTCTTAAAACAAATTTAATTACCATATAATTAATCCTGAAATTATTATGATGTGTAGTTTCTATTTTTAATTTTTTAAATAAATCTTTTGAGTTCTAATTTATTTTTTCTAGATTTTATACAAAATAATTAAGTGAAATTTATTTAAGTTTTATTTGATAAAGGACTTTTGCCCGATCGATGTTCATTTCATCATGTTTTACTGTATACATTATATATAACTTTGATACACATAAATGTATACATACGTTATATATGTAAATATTATTGTCTTTAAAATTTAAATACGAAAATTTAAATTTATTATTAAAAGTTTAAACTTTTACCGACCGTATTGTGTATACAATAGGTAGGTTATGTGATGGCAACAAATTTTGCGTATCGAGTTTTCTGTGGGAATGCACTTCTCCATAGTAGGGAAGTGTAAATAAACTATTTTTAGCAACCTGTCGATTTGTCGGTCTGTGTGTCCACGCGTGAATCTCAAGTTCGGCTGAACCGATTTTGATGGCACGGATTGATCAACTTTTGGGATATATCAGGCCTCGGGAACTGCACTTTTTAGCGGGCTTGTTTTACATTTTTGAACATTTTGAAGAAAATATTCAACTGATTTACTTGAAATTTCATACATAAACTCAGCTCGACCGTCCGCGAGACCCGCTAACTTTTAGAAGAAATCAGGTGTCAGCAACTGGACGTTTACTTCGGGCCAAATATACATTTTTGCGTATATAAAGAGAAATAATGGATCGATTTTATTGAAATTTAATATTTAAATTCTTCGTATTAAAACACTGAACATATAAATTTTTTGGAAAGATCAGGGATCGAAAACTGATTTGCGGGCCGATTTTACATTTTTCAAAATTTCATTTTGAAATTTGATATTTGAGTACTGGTTGTTACCGAAACTAATTGACGAGCATTTAAGGGAATTCGGGTAGCACAAAGCGAAACTCTACTAAGAGCCAAATTTACATTTTTCTAGGTATGTTAACTATAAGCTTACTAATGCCCTAAAAATTAGAAAGAAGTATTTAACAGACATTTTTA